GATAAAACCCCATAATTCATAGCATTTTCTTAATGCAAGTATAAAATCACCTGCAACATCTCTGTCAAAACACTACATCAATTACAGCCCTGGTAAAGGCTGAGTTGGTGTGAACACTATCAATTGCTTTTTTCCCACTGAAACAGAAGACAGCAGTCCCATGACCCCAGAATCAACCCTCACCTGAAAGCTCCCTCATAAATCACACCTCAGGAACATTGTAAAGAACTCCCTGTGTACAAGTGCTAAGGGCAAAGGATTTTCTTTGCTACCTTATCACCTTATCTTCGGGTTTTTCCAGGCTTCTTGATAGAGTTATCATAAGTTACATTTCAATGTAATACACCACAAATAATTTTAATGTGAAGGTGTAAAAATAAAGCTGTAAAGCAGCAGATCATTCCAGATGCAGCTCAGTTGAAGATCAATGCTTTACTGCTGCCTGTAAATCAAACTGGCTCTCAGGTCAGACTCTCTGCTCAATTAACTTCCCAAGGTCTTTACTGCACCACTGGCTCTCCCAGCAGCTCTGCCCTCCTTGACATGGCCCTCAAGTTCAAGAGCAGGCTGGCTTTGATGGTTTTTGTCAGGAAAATTGTAAATGCCTCAGCATTCCTTGCCCCTTTTTGACACACAGGTTGGTTTGGAGGGATGTTGTAACAGCCAGCTCTGCACAGGAGGGCAGGTTTAACCACAGGCATGTTCAGCTGCAGACCAGCCTTCCGCAGGAGCCCTCGGCCCCTTGTGAGATTGCACCACTTCTGTATGAAGAGTTTATTTAAATATTTAAAAATACAAGCCTATTACTGCTTTACTGGTGTACTTCCTATTCCTGCTGAGCATTTCCTACTTCTCCTTCTGCAGGGCACTCTGCAGTGAGACTGACTCACATACAAAACCTGTTCTATTTTCTGCTTTTTTAGCTCACAGGAACCCTTTCAGTTTGCTGTTTGGACTTGAATTTACTCACAGCTTAACCAGCAGGGAGAAAACCAGCAAACCTTCCAGGCTGATTTAGTCTGATTATGGAGAACTTCACACAACTGCCACACTCTGCAGCTCACCAGGGCTCTGTGTGCTCACTTCACCTCCCAGATCCTGTCCTTGTCCTTCTCACCCCACACTGTCACAAAACACCCAGGCTAATGTTACTACAGGGTGATGTGTGCATGGAAAAAGCAGGACAGAGGCTGTGAGCACTTTTCCCCTGTTATTCAGCCCAGCTGCTGGTCCTGTCCCCACACAGCTGATGGGAAGGTTTTAAGGTTTACACGGTGATTTCATGAGGAACAAACTGCTATCAGTGGTGCTGATTTTCCCTTCCTCCTCTATTCATCAGGAAAGATTTTTAAACGAAGTTATTCATGCTGCCAGGTCCTGCCCTTCACATTTAAGGCAACAACAGTGAGGAAATCATAGAATAAGAGAACAGGCTGAGCTGGAAGGGACCCATCAGGACCAGTAAGTCCACCTCTGCACATATCCTGCCCTGATGCCAACCAGGAGCAAAGCTGGAGGCACAAAGTGTGTCCCAGGAGGATAAACTGCTCCATTTGCTCTTGGCCAACCTTGAACTGTCACCACCCAAACTGTTGTGAAACCTTCCCTATAAAACTGCACTTGCTCCTGAGCTGTCCCTCTTGTCAAAGGACCCCTTGACTTTTCCAGTTCAACTCTTGCTCAGACCAGAGCCTTTCCCAGGATTCAGGAAGCAGTAGGAGCAGCTTTCCCTGTGAGTCAGATCTGAGCTGAGCCATGGGTGGGGTTGCAAAGGTCACTGCCATTGTGGGCAGATTCTTTCTGATAAAATAGAAAGCCCTGTGAGCTGCAGGGTCACCACAGCACCTGCAAAGCACAGCTTTAGGGGCCTCTGGTGCACTCCAAATGACAACTCCAGTCATATGTTCTGGTTACTTGTTTGGTCCCTCATGTAATACTTAGATCCCTTTTCCAGACACACTGTCCATGTCCATCTGTCCTTCCCTGGACAGTGGAAAGTCACCAAGTTACAACTGATTTGCCTCAAAAGAAGTTGTGAAGGTGCATTTAATTAATACCTGCAAAGCTACTGTGAAGTTTCAGGCAGCTCTCCTTGGCACTGTTGTCCCCAATTATGTAATGTTAGACACCTTCCACCATAACACCCCTCTTCAGGGCTCATTTCTGGATTTAGCAGGAGAGAAGAGACACCCTCTGGCATGTCTGAAGGATAATCCAATCCCACCTCTGAGACACACACCAGTGGCATATGAATGCTCTGTGACTTTGAATAAAATTCCCAGTAAGAAGGAGATAAGCTTTTTAACAGAAGTACTCTTATGTTTCAGAAGACAATGATTGCTCTCCTACATCTCTGAGGAACTCCTAAAAAACCATGCAAGAATTAAATCCTAGCTATGAAGTTTTGTAATGTTCAAAGAAATCAATTAGCCCGTAGAAAGGGGATGAATCTTTATGCTGTTCTACACATTCATAAAGTGATGCCTTTGAGCTTCCATTGTACTTCCTACAAAATTCACATCATGTCACCTCCTCTGGATTATGCAGAGCTCTTTAACCAAGTTTTAAAAAAACCCCAAACCCTGTACTTCATGAGAGACTGCAGCCACCCCCATACCCCTGCTCAGTTTCTTTTAATTAGGACAAGATGAACAAATCCAGGAGAGGGGAAGCAGGGTTTGAGGAAGCAAAGGAGATGCTGAGAGCACCCACAAGGGAGCCTCATCCTGTGCTCTGGTGACAAATCCCCTCTGAGCGCTCAGTCAGCACCACCAAGTCAAGCCCAGCACCATCCCCAGAGGGCAGAGAGGGCCCAGGTCTGAAACACAGCTCAGCCACTCCCAGGGAAGCTGGCATCCTGCTGGGATACAGGGAAATCACTGGAAACTGGGAGGAACAGCAGAGGAGACACCTGAGCAAGGTGAGCCCCTGCACTCTATGTTACTCCAACTAACAAGGATGCTGTGAGTGTGATTTTCTCTACATGCAATTGGCCAGGGCTTTATAGCTGCCAGGGAAAAAACCTAAAAAATCCTAAAGCTTCAGATAATGAAGGTGCACAAGGACCTGCTGGAAGGTGCCCTGCTGATGCAGCTGACCCACCCTGGAGCCCCCAGCACCACCGTGCTCTGGTTAAACCCCCCACAGGCACAAGCCAGTCCCTCCTGCCCGAAAAAGAAAAAGACTCCAAGCACTGAGCACTAATGAGATGTCGGTATGAAAGAAAGGATCCGGAATCTCACTCCCCTTCCCAGCAGCTCCCGCTGAATGGGAGCAGGAGGCTGCATCCACATTGTTCCTCACGGGCATAAACAATGGGCTGGCATGTGGAGGCTGAGTGAGTCACCGTGCTCCTGCTTCAGCCCTGTAACGGGATCCGAGCCAGAACAAGGACCAGTAACTTAGGGAGTGGACCAGTTAGCTAATGACAATCATTCTTGGCAGGACACAAACAATGAGTTTAAGCATGTACAATACCCTTATAAAGAGCAAATCCACCAAGACTGCTGCCTTGTACAGGGATCTTAAGCTTTACAAGGATGCCTTTCCCAGTTTTCCAGCACTGTAGACTATTTTAATACAACCCAGATTTATCCATATAGAATAGTCTACCACTGAGATTTGCATGCTTCCAGCTAACCAGTTTAACTGAGTATAATTACATAACAGCAATGTGTAATAAAGTTCTCAGGGAAAAAACCTGAACTCAAAACGTAGAAAATATAACTATTCCACTTTCCACTTCATTATTCACTCCTACAATAATTTATTTACTGTATCTTTAAACAGAGACAAAACTTGTCAGAGCACTGCTGCAGAACAAAAATTTAGCAATTCTGAACAGTTGCGAACCGTTAGCGCAGATTAAAATTCTTCTCATGGTTTATAGCTTAGTATTCAAGTGGAGATAATTTCTTCCAGAGAGAAACCCAGAAGACAGAATTTAAGAATTTTAAGAATATTCAGTAACCAAATGTTACAGAAAGGTACAATGCTAATTACCAAAAGCAAACAGGAAAATCACAGAACAGGCAGAATACGTACGGAGAAAGGAAAGAGTTCCCAGAGCTCCCTGTGACGCTGGTGAGGAACGTCTTCAAACAAGACAAGGAGGCCTCTGAATAAACTATCAGGTTTTGCTTCATAGTTGCTGATAAAATCCAAAATAAGGCTGCAAAAACATTAGCTTCTGCTGGAGCCTGCTTACTCACTACAAAGCGTCAAACACACCTTCTTCCCACACTTGGAGCGCAGATGCTGCCTCCTAATGAAGCACTTGCTGCAAGGGGGGAACACCGTTACACAAGAACAGGAGGCTATTTCTTGCTGCAGAAACATAACTGGGGTTTGACTCAGAGAAAGGCAGCAGTGCCTGGGAGATGAGGGTTGCAGTGAGAGAAGCCATCCAAAAATAATTTGCCTGCTCAGGGAAAAAAAAAAAAAAAAAATTCACAGGAAGCAACCTGAAGCATATGTCCCTTCTAAAAGGGGAATTACTTTATTACATAAACACAAACCTTCTAATCTAGCCCAACATAAAATCACTGCAAGCCATCGAATCGGAGCCGGGGGTAAAACTGGAGCAGGTTAATATCTGTTCAGGCTGAGAAGAGATGCTCTGATTTTAGCAGCTTTCATATCCTGAATACCCATTGCATCAGTGACTGGGAACATATTTGCATTCGCACACTGAAAAAGCACAGATCTTGTAGAACATATTTAGGAACTGGTGAGACGTGATACATATATTGACTAATTCCCCAGGCCTTTGGAGAACATCCCTCTTCAGGGAAATGCTATTCTTACCACCTCCATAGTTAAACATCACCCTCCCTGGAAGTAAAGTTCCTTGTTCTAGACTGTAGATTTTCAAAGATCAAGGCTCAAAAAACTTTCACATTTTTAAACTCCATCAAAGCCCAGTGGCAGGTGGCTACTGAGTTCTCTTAGAACCTTTTGCTCCCGATGTGAAGAGGAAAGAAACAAATCCTGCTATTTACCATTCTGTGGATCCATGGTGCTCTCCCTGCAAACAGCGGATTCCTCCGTTCCCACACACCAGTACATTCTGGGTGGCAGTTGTGGAGGCCCCACACACAAACTTTCCACAGCACTTCAGACTGAGCAGTGTTGTCAAGGCTGGACGATCCCCATCTCGTGAATGCAGGAGCAGAGGCTGCTAGTGAGCACCATCCTGAATAAACATCATTTATTCTGTTTAAAAATAAACAAGAAAACAAATTAATCATTCCACTGTAGAAATGGTGACATGTTAATTCCTCTCCACTATCAGCACAGTTGTCCAAATGTCACACTGCAGAAATACATTTATCATCCTATAAATACAATTATTTTCATATTAGCTTCGTTAAGAGCACAACATGAATTAACAGAGAGGACTGCTACCACTAATTTCTGCATTACAGAAAGATAATGTTCCTAATTTTTCACCACCAAAGCTGCTCAGTCTTTGGGCAGAGGACAAGGGGGTGGGCAGGGGTCACAGCTGCAGTTTCAGATTCTCCACAAGCTGGTGTAAAGGCAGACCATTGAAACCCTGCAGTGCAGCTGGAAAAATCCTAAATGCAACCTCAAAACCTCTCCCATCCACAAAGACAACCACAGCTCTTGTAAGACTGTGAGAAACTGAAGAACACTGATGTGGCTACTGAGATAATCCTCTGTAGAAAAGAGAAGAGAGCAAAGAGAAACACACCAGCTGCTGTCCCCTCTGCCCAGCCCTTTTTTGAGAACTCTCCCACCCTGGATGCACCAGGCTTCTTCACTCAGGGAGGCAAATCAGGCCCTTAGGAGCTATTAAAGGCTGGCTGCTTGTGAACTGCCTGGTATAACAGGCAGCAGAAAATTGCACAGCTCAGTCTCCTGAGGCACTTCCAGCTCCTTCCCTTTTCACAGCTGCACAGCCACCCCTTAACCTCTCCACAGAGAGGCTCAAACTCCTGGAGGATTTGTAGTGTTTGTCCAACCAGCATCAGAGCTCCTTCATTTTCTGCTTTCAGTTTCAGTCAGTAAACGCCTCTCAGATGTGACATGATGCACCTCAACTGACTCTTACTGGTTCTGCTCATGTCTGGTGTGTGATGATGAAGTTCTGATTTGAGGCTGTAGCTCGTCACCCACCTCCCACTGCAGCCAGCAAGGTCTGGGACCTTCCCTGACTCTCCCTGAGCAGAGCTGGCTTCCTGAACTGGGATCAAAAGCCAAGGGGAATATAAAAATATGCTGATCCATCAGCCCTCTCCAGGAAGCTTTCTGCTCCTCCCTCCTTACACTGGATTTCAACCACCAGCCAATAACACTAAAAATCACTGCATCCTATTTCAGTTGTTTCTAGGCAAATATTTGGATTTTAGGAGCACTCAGCTTCTGCTGACCCTGATTTCGCAGTGCCTGGCAGCAGCAACAAAGACTGGCACCCCTGTGCCCCAGTCTGGGCTCTGGGTGCTGCAGGAGGCCGAGATGGAGGTGACCCCTAATCCCAGATCCAAGCCCACAAACTGGTGAATTGCACTGTGCTGCTGGAGGGCTGAATTGTGCCCTGGCCCACCAGACTCAGCTTCTCTCCTGACCTCAGCTTCCCTTGCCCACACTGGCAGGAGGAGCTGGGACCACACGTGCCCCCATGCCACGGGTGGGACACGCCAGGCAGAGGTGTCAGGGAGGCTCTCACACCTGCCCAGAGCTGCCCAGGCTGTTGGCTCTGGCAGTGGAGGGGATGTGATGCTTCCAGCAGCTGCCCTCGATGCACTGAGCAGCTCCAGGGAGAGTAAACACTTCCCCTTGCACACTCTGGCCCACCAGCTCTGCAGCAGATGATGGTTTCTGAGGCACTTCCTTGCTCTGACATGGGGACAAACCATGTGCACCCACAGCAACTGTACAAGAAACACTCAATGGGGGTCAGCGTGGACCCCTGAGGCTTGAAAACCACTCCACTCCTGATTTTTAGCTCTCTACTCAGCCTATTCCCCAGGCTGAAACTTTCCTTGTATAAAGTGAAATTAAAAATAACTTTTAGGAAAAATAGCAGTGTGGTTCTGATAATCAGTTCCTTTAACTGCAAGTAACTGAATGCTGTAGCCATGTATATTGTGCCATACAGTGTCCAGGTAAGCAGGATTCCTGTATTTCAGGACCTTTTTGAATATAATTTAAAAAAACCAAAAACCCACAGAGCTTTACCTTCAGGAAGGTGCACACAACTGTAACACGTGCAAACACCATGATTGTATTTGATTAGGGATCTGATTTAGGGAGTCAATGTGCTCTGCACAATCTCGTTCAGAAGGAGAGGGACCATGCAGAACACACCTGAACAGGTGTAAATGGGATTTATATCCCATTTCTCACATTCCCAGTCCTGACACCTGCTACTGCCCATACCTGAACCACCCCCTCCTCTCCACTTCACCATCCCGCCCAGTCTGACCCTGTGCATTGTGCCTGAAAACAGCCGGGCCCATAGAAACATCACGGCTTGCCCAAAATCGCTTCCTAATTCATAAAAAAGCCCTGCTAAAACTTCAGTGCTTTACCCAAACCACCTGTTGATTCTGACAACCCCGCCTGGGGATTACCACGGGTCTGGGACAGGAGGGAAGGCGCTGGGGCTCTGTGCGGCGCCGATAGCGAACCTGAGGCCGAGGTGCCGGCCCAGGGACCCGGCCAGCCCAGGGACCCGCATCCTTCGTCCCGGGCGACCAGCGAGCACCAAGCCATCCCTTCTCCACATCCCGGCCGGCCGGGAGTACACCAGGCGCTACACCCCGTTTTGGGGGGGTCTCTGAAGCCTTGCCAGCCGCTTTCCACCCCCCGGGCTGAGGCGTCCCCTCACAGCGATTCCCGCCGCTCTCCGGCCCCGCCGGGCGGGGCGGCCGCGCTCCCGTCCGCAAAGTTTCCTCCGAACTTTCATTTTCTTTAAAAACAAACGCCTCTCCCCCCTCGTTTCAACCTGAAACGCCCCGGCAGCCCCCCACACCGACTGCCCTGGCGGCGGGGCAGGTGCCCGAGAAGCGGCAGCAAAGCCACGGTACCTCTGCGTCCCGGGCCGGCGCTCCCGGCGCTGCTGCTGCCGCCACCGCCGCCGCCGCCTCCTCCTCCTCCTCCTCCTTGTCCGGCGCCGCCCGCACGCCTCGCTCCGCGGCCCGGGAGGCGGAGGGAGCCCGGCAGCAAAGGCAGCGGGACGGCAGCTCCTCCTCCGGCCCCGGGCCCGCCGGCCAAGGGCGAGTCCCCCGGCGCGGCCCCCGGCCTGCCCCGAGGGCAGGGCTGGCCCGCAGGAGGAGGAGGAGGATGGAGCTCCTTGCCCAGACCCGACCCACACCGCCCCCGGGCAGCCCTTAGGCTCCGAGGGTTTGAGTTTTTTAGGAAAAGCCAGCGTGGGAGTGGCGGTGGCTGGAGCAGGAGCGCTCCCGCAACACTGCCCGTGGTCCCGGCAGGGCCCGACCTTACCGGGGCACAGCTCCGGGCACAGCTGCACTTTGAAAGTTGCTCCTTCCCCGGATAGCGGCGAGTTCGGTCCTCGCTGGAAGAGCGGAGCGAGGTTGCCCCCTCTCTTCGGAAGGAGTCGGATGTTGGTGTGCGCAGCCCTTTCCCAGACTGACCCATTCCTCTCCAGGAGCCTCTGACGAGCCAGGGATTGCTCCCTTTCCTCCACTCGTCGGACCAACTAAGAAAAAAACCAAACATTTCTGCGTGCCTTTTGCTTTGCTGTTCGTAGCCATTCTGTAAATTAAATTACACACAGAGGATGTTTTTAGCCTGCTCGGTACCTAGCAATGGGCCACTGAGGGTCACTTGGGGTGGATTGCATTCACAGAACGGCTGCGGCAGCCTCCGATTTGCCTGGCGTGATTGTGGACGCACAGATGGGTGCTCACCGCTGCTCTTCCCTGTGTTCGGGTTCCCATCAATCTGCGTCCAGTTGCAGCCATAGGTAGAGAGCAAGAACGTAGCAATACTATTGTTTTCTGACTTTTAACACAGCTAAAAACCAGTGATACCTGTTTTCAGCATCTTTCAACTCTTACCCAGCCTGCTCCATTTTATGCCTCACAGCCCAGCTCTTACCCAGACCTTTCTTACACCATTTTTAGCACAATGTTTGAAACCACCCTAAAATAACTTTTTCCTTTATTATGATAGAGCCTCTAATTTCCTCTGGCAATAATTTACCCACATATTCAAGCTAATTTTTCCCTTTTTTCCCTCTCCAAATCTCATCCCACTCTTCCTTAGGTGTCCATTGATTATGTCACTCACAGTAATGCCTTTGTATCTCCAGCCTTCCCTTTTCTGGAGTCTGAAAGCTTCTGAGTGATGCTGTCAGTGAGTGGAAAATTGAAGGAGTTTGGCTTGGCCTGTGTAGGGAGCCCAAAGGAATTTCTCACACATCAGATGGGAAGAGAGTTAAAAGACAATGGAATGTTCTTGCTCTGTATCTACATTGCAGATGAGAGAAATAAAACTGGGCTGGGAACACATTCAGCAGAGCCACACTGGTGGTGGATGTGTCTCAAGGGGTTTAGGGAGCAGCCAGAGCAAGGCAGGAAGCCCCATCTGGCTGCAGGAGCCACAGTGTCTTTAAACACTTTATTTTAGGCTCACCTCAGAAGGAAAAGAGGATCCATCCAGCTTTGTGCTTGCCCCTGCAAGCTGCAGCTCTGCTCTCCTCCCTCTGCTTATGGTAAATGGCACAACTCAAGCTTTTATGTGCAGAACACTGACCACACTTAGCACTTAAAATTGCAAAAATTAATCCAAAAGCTGAAAAAAATTAATTAATCCAAATTGCAAAAATTAATCCAAGTGCAGATTCCCTCACAGACTCCCAGTGAGATACTAAACCCTCAGATACACCCATTTCACAAAGTTAAACATTTATTAGGAACAAGAACTATTACAAAAAAGATATCCATAGTCTAAATATATACATGAGGTTTAAACATAACATTTTCATGTACCTTTAGCTATAAAAATACATTAGATTAACTGTATCCTAATTTATAAATATAGTTCTTTTCTTTAAAAAAAACAACTAGTATTCATATGAAAGCCTTACTGTGCAATGGAGGAATATATATACCCTCTAAGGGGTTATTTTAAAGTTAGTGTCTAGTGTTATATAACTTACAAAATTCAGTGTGTAGAGTCAAACCCTGATTTATACAATAAGAGATACATTGACTTTTGAAAAACTTGATAAGGGGAAAAAAAGTGAAATATATATCATACATATAAAGCCAGAAGAGTAGGATTTTAAGAATTTCAGGTTATTTCAGTTTCCACCACTGTTTATCAAAAATACAGAGATACATCAAGATAAACAGGCTTTTACTGTTTGCCTCACCTCTCTGCAGCCCAAGGAAACCCTCAGGTGGGCAAGAGTAAAACATTTGTCTGAGAAGAGGTTTGCACTCTTAAGTGTCTTACAAAAATAGAAACTTATTTACAATGCTCCCATTTGGCCTTTCATGGGGAAGGGAGGACATTTTCATCACTGGATGGGGAGATTTACCTGCCTCACACCCCGTGGGAGCACAGGCTCCTGGTTACACTGTGGGAGGTATGTCACACCAGAAGTGAAGGGATGTTGAAGTGCAATTTCAACATTCACCAACTAATAAGGAAGTTTAGGCTCATGCAAACTTTTTTCCTTACTTATCACCACCCACCTTCCTTCCTCCTCCAAAAAAAGCTCCACTCATGCAACAGAATTTGCTGCTGTCTGAGCCTATCTGTGAGCAAAGGAAGGTACTGGGTAAATCCTGGCTTGCAGCAGAGAAGAGAGGTCAGACCTGCATTTCTGCTTCAAGCTCTGACATCTGGAGCAGCAATCCTTATCAGTGCTCCCTGGGGACCTGCTGATAAGCCATAAGGAACCTCGCTGGGTTTGTTCTCAGAGGACAATCCCAGAGGGATCAGCTGAACTTCCTAACAAGCTGTCACCATTAACTCCTGCAGACATGGGACTGGCTGTGCCTTTGCTGGGGTTCTCCAGCAGAGTCAGGAGGAGGGAAAGCAGTGAGCCCAGGAACTGAAGATAGCCTGTGGTTTGCATTCATCTCATGATAATTAATCTCATAATAATGTCTGGGCATAAAAAGAAGTTACTGCAGGAGGTGCTAAGGCATGAGCTGGGTGTGACAGCCACTCCATGGACAGCTGTGAGCAAGGGACAATCCAAGGCAGTTTTCTCAGTGAAGGATCAGCTACTCTGTGCTGGCCATGGGATGACAGCACTCACAGGGACAATGGCTGTGAAGCTGCTGACAGGCTCAAGTCCAGCCACAGCTTATTCCATGGTAACTGGCTTGTACACCCTTCTCTTCAGCACTCAAGTTGTGCTTGGGAGCACCTGCCTTTTCACACTGCACTTCCAGGAATGTATTTTAAGCTACATTCATACAGGCACAAAGAAACGTTCAAAAAGCCTGAAAGTTGCAGAGAAAGAGTTTCCTGCAGCTCTTCTGCTCCCTCCCCCAGATCAGGACTGGTATGGGGTGTTTTCTGTGGGGTATCTACCATGCTACATGCTCAGCATCCAACTGGGTGTCACCACGGTAAATGCAGTGCAAAATCCTCTTGAGAAAAGTGCTGTAGTGAAGGTTTGAGATACAACTGTGACTCACTGGGAGCCAGAAGGGTCAGCAAGTCAGGAACTTGCATTTGCAGCATGTGTAGTGTGTGCACACCCAAACATCAGGTTCCAAGGACACTTGAAAGTCTGGCTCTGTTGGGTGACATAGTGGCCCCAAAGGAGTCCCCCAGGAAACTCCCACAAATCTCATTCAGGGCTAGAATATCACCAGGATGGAGAATGCACCATATCTTTAGAGAAACCATGATAGCTCTTTCAAAGAGAATTTCCTCACAGATCCTTCCATGAAAGCTTGCACTCCCATTCCAAACTCCAGCTGCAATCTTCACACAAACTCCACCAACTCCAGTCAAGCTGTTCTAACCCTTCCTTACCACTCGAGTCCATCTCTGCCAAGGGAAACCCAAGTGCCTCTGAAGGTATTTGCCAGTGCCTGTGATGGCACCAGCAGTCTCTCTAGCATGCCAGTGATGTCCATGTCCTTCAGGGGTACAGTTGGGAAGCAGATGTCCTGCCAAAACTGTGACTGACCAGTTTTGAGTCACAGGGAGCAGGAAGATGCACAGCCAGGGACTTGTGGAGTACAAGTGTGTACTGCCAGTAGGGTCAGTGAATCAGTTTTTGAAGAGCCAGTTGGCAAAATGGAGCCCAGCAGATTCAGTGTTTCCAGAGGAATTAAGACAGGTGTTTCCATGTTCCTTCCCACCCCTCCCCTCCCCCTTGCTCTGAACATGTTCCCCATGTGTCACATTCAGAGTGTCAGCATTTCAGGCCTCCTGTTTTCATGGACTCTTCTGGGAGAGTTTGATGGTGACTGTTTTCACTTCGGTGTATTCTGCCAGAGCATACTCCCCACTGCAGAAGAAAAGAGGGGGGGGGAAGGACAAACAGTTGTTGAATGCTAATGTGTATTTCCCTGAGAGAAGAGAGTTGTACACATGTGCATTTCTGACATCAGGTCATTAAAACCAGATCTGAACAATTCACATCAGCTATCCATTTGTCCCACCACCTCTAATAACCACCAAGTACATGTACATACAATTACACCCTGTTGTGAGAGAAACACAGAGTGCTTTGGTCACTGTAACCCACAAGATGACACTTGTGACTCTGCCTGTGCAAACTGAGTGCTGCTGTGAGAAGTCATCCAAGAGACAGCCACATACACACAGCTATTGGTGCTTAGACAGCAATAAAGTTATTTTTTCATTCAAAAAAAGCTATCTACACGATACCCTGTCATCAGGAGGGCACAGTTGCTCCAGAAATGCATATTGATGAGAGAGCCCACCACTGCATTATGTCTTGGTTGGTGATAACTGGCTCTCTTCCCGTGCCCTTCCCATGGGAAACCTCTGACATCCTTTAATTATCCAGGCAATCAGGCAAAGCAAACCATAAGGTCTCAATATATGTCTATGTCCCATCTGAGGATTAATTTATTTGCTGTGCTTAGCAAATGAGGCACCTGAATGTCTCAGAGCAGCAGATGTACCAGAACAGTTACTGGAAATGGTTTCTGGGATTAAATCTGGCTTGTGAAAGAAAAGGTGTGTTAGATTCCTCTGAGGAGTCTGCTGAATGGTCTAACAAAACCTGTCTCCTATATGAGAAGAAAATTAAGATTTAAGACAATGTCTCAGCTCTGTGTCTAACTCATGGAGTGACTTTGGTTTAAAAATTTCAGCTTTAGTAACTATTAAGAGCTGAAGTGTCTGGTGGCTCCACTGTAACAGGCCAGGCTGGGGAATAGGGACAGAGAGTTCTTGTGTAATTTAGCAGCAACCTTGGAAGGTGGGATGGAAAATGATTTGAGAGATCATTCCTTCCCACCTGAACAAGGAGCAATGATACAGCAGCCAAGAGAGGCACAGACACCACTATGGAAAGATGGAGCAGGTTTGGGGTGGATACCAGTGTCCCCAGCCATGGTGCCACACTTCTTCCTTCATCTAAGAATCTAACTAGTATGGAAAAATGCTTCCAATGGACTTGACTGAACTGGAGCTATTAAAAGCTCATAAAGCAGATGAAGGTGCTCCTAAAGGAATGCTTTACATCCACGCTCTACTGGCTTAGCACCTCCCTGTGGGGCATGCTGCAAGCCTGATTAAACTTTAAAAGCAAATTCAACAGTGTTTTCACAGTCACAAATGTTATTGCATTCACCACCCACACAGAAACAAAATACTGAGCAAAACTTACAGTTCTCTGCCATTGCCTGACATTTTAAAGCCACCAAAAGGAGCCTGAGCATAGAGAGCATTGTAACAGTTGATCCTACAATAAAAACATCAATTTTAAAAAGACAATTCAATACCAAGGAAAAGCAAGATGATGACAACAGCAACAATACAATAAAATCAGAAATCTCTCTGTTTTCTCTGTCATACACTTGAGAAATCAGATTATTGCAATAAAATCTTCTTTTGCTGCAGAAACAGAAAACATCTGAGTAGTTCTCAGTCTGACCTACATCTTGCTTCATATCCTCTAATGGCAAAGACATTTGTGCTTGAGCTAGAATTTATGCCATGTTCAGAGTCATGATTAAAATAAATAGTTCAGGCTATTCCCTAATTTATTAAGTACATTCTGAAATGAACATGTTTACTCAGAAAGTTCTCTAAACACTCACAATGAGGCCCCAGCATCCCCTTCCAGGTACAGAAAACATTTGGACTATGTCAGACAATTGTGTCAAGTAAAATAAAAGCACTGGGCCCATTTCTATGGATCCTTGGTAGAAAAAGCTGGTGCAGACACTTCCCCAGCATCTCAGTATGATCAAATGACTGAAGGTCATGCAGCACAGGTATAGTTTGAGCTGGAAGTGTGCACCTCCATGTGTGTTCAGCACATGTATCCTTCAAAGCCCAACATCCCATTTTTATGTAAATATTTGAGGCTGATTCTTCTGGTGCCAACTCTTAATATTAATCCTCTGCATCAGAATCAGATACCAGATCAGCCTCCTGTCTTGAGTGGGAAAAAATCAGGATTCCATCCTTAAAACCATTCTAATATAAAATAAGAAATTTTGTACACAAAAATAGCTGTTTTTTTTGTGACAGTGGTGTGTTGCCACCTACTGTCCATACTGGTTTATGCAGCAAAATCCCATCTGGTGCTGGCAAAAGATCATTTTTGGAAGGCACAACGTCTGGTGGAGCTTACTACAACCCCGACAAAGCAATACCTCAACTGAAGGAAAAACCAGTCCCTTTCTCAACATGCTGTCAGGCCTCACCACCTCATTTTGAGGAATGGATGTTGCTTCTGAGCAGAACATCAAGAATTAGGCAGGCTACTAATCCATCTTAGCTGCAGCATTTAGAGAATCACAGATATTCTGAGTTGGGAGGGACCCACAAGGATCACAAAGTTCAACTCTTAAATGAACAGCATGTACAGGGATGGAGCTCACAACCTTATCAGCCACCTTATTATCTTACCAACACGACTGCAAGTCCTAAATCCCTCTCCCCTCCCAGGAAACAAAGCCCCAGCCCACCCTCTGTTCCCAGGCTGCTCACCAGACTGTTCCTGACTGCAGGGCTGAAGCCAGGGTTAAAGCTCTGTCCAGGTTCTTGGTGAACACCGCGGCCGTGAGTCCGTACTCGGTGCTGTTGGCTCTTCTTATCACCTCTTCTATACTCTTGAACTTCATAATTGGTTGAACTGGCCCAAAAATCTGCAGATATCAATTAAACTTTAGTACAGGAAAGCATCTGCTAATTATGGTAGTTTTGAAGTAACCAGAATCAGATGCTCTGTTTGGATAATATATTTAAAATCTTATATTTTAGCCTTCTAGGGGTCACTGATGGAGTGTCCTAAAAGCTACTAATTAAACTTCAAAGGAAGCATTGTGATGTGCTGTAGTAGTTAATAAATGTTAAGATCCAACAAGTAATGGATCATCTGTAACAATCAAAATAAGCAGAGTTAGATCTGGACAAGTTACAAATGATTCATCCTTACTCCATTTACAACTCTCCTTTTGAACTCTGAAGCTGAGTGTGCTCAAGTAACAATTAATTTATTTCAAGGACTGCAAGTTTTCTTCCTTGGTTTTAACCCTGATTTTGTCACTGTATGCATTTTATTTGCATGCAGTGCATTAACCACATCTGTGCTTGACCACAAACTTGGCTTCCCAGGTTGCCAGTAGAGACAACAGCCATACAGAAGGCTTCCCAAATTTTGGGATGGAGTCTCTCATCAGGCACATTATCAAAGGTGGAGCCCTTTCTTGGTCTGCAGGCTCTCACAGCACAATAAAGCCCATTGAATGTGAGAAACAGACTCATTTGGGCCACTTTTAAGCTCAAACAAGGGTTTATAAATGTCTTTGTTTTGGGATATTCAGGCTCTTATGTGGAGCCTTAATCCTAGGCAAAGGATGAACATGCATTTGTAACAAAACTGCCAATGAATGGAACTGGATAAGCTTTGTGAATCATGCCTTGGGATTTGGAGTCAGTTCATTAAGAAAAGGTTTGTCATGGGATTTTCAGCTCTTTTTCTCTCTATTTTTAGCATGTAACTCATGCCCCGACTGACTGATATCTTTCCCAGGTTCCTTAGAGATTCTGTGGCAGATCTGAGACATTCAAACATCTTGCCAGGAGTGAACAGCAAGCAGCCCCATAAAAAGCACTAGGCTAAACTTTAAACTACAAATGCCAGTTAGACTTTGGCAACTACTTATTTTCCATTAGGGAACATGATGAAAAGTAGATTAACTTCTATTTCAAAGGAATATCACAGCATCTAATCACATGCAGCTTGTTCAACATTTCTACATATGAATAATGAAAGCCAGAGTATTAGATCTGCACTTTGCTGGCTTTGACCATGTTTTCATATAGGAAAGAAATAGTCAGTCTCAGGAGATTTTGCCATGAGAATGGAATCTGGGATTGTTTCAGATGCTAAGGCTGTTTTAGAGAACTTCAGTGGCTGTTCCTTTGCTCCTTACCAGCATCAGGTCCCAGAGTTCTTTTCCCACTTTTCTGCAATAAAGCAACCCCTTCTCTACAAAGTAGGGGAGCAAGAACACACTGTACACAGTCACTGGCAATTACAGGGTAAATAATTGCTCCAGCCTGCCAGTGTCAGTTATTTTTACTGAGTTATTTATATTTAAAATTAAGGATTCAGACAGAAGCCCCTCCATTACCACTATTTCTGATTCTGAAGCAGCATTTTTCTAGGTGATTTGTACTGTACCTCCTCTTTGGCAATTCTCATGTTGTCAGTGACCTCTGAAAACACTGTAGGTTTTATAAACAGGCCTCTGTCTTCAATGGCAAGACCTCCACACTCCAGCTTAGCCCCTTCTTTCTTCCCACTTTCTATCAGCTCCAGGATTTTATCAAACTGTTTTTGGTCAATCTGTCAGACACAAAAGGAAAGAAACAAAACAGCAGCACCTTTATTATCATAGTTCCAGAGAGAAGTCATGGAATGTGGCCCAGGGGCACATTTACAGGGCACTGTCAAACTGGGCCAGTTTATAGCTCAGTTTAGGATGTGGCAGTCAGGGAGTGAGCAGGGAGAAAGAAAGGACATGGGCATAGCTCTGAGCCACAGGAAACACAAGGTGAAGTGACATGTGACAGTTTCATCTGATCTAAGAGTTTGCTGCCACATGGAGGAGTCTTCCCCCTTTCCCTTGCTCCCTGTCCTGGATATGTGCTCCCACAGCTCACCTCACTTGAGCTCTGGGATTTCTCACCTTCTCCAAGCACTGCTTTATCGCAGCAGCAGTATGAGAACTGCCTGAGATGGATCTGACCAGCAGCAGAATCAGTCCAGGAGAGGGAAGACCAGGATCCAGGAACGATTGACTCAATTTTGCTGCAGTGTGCAGCTTCACCTACAGCTCTCTGTCCCCAGCTGGAAGAACCCAGTGAGCTCTGCCTCCATCTCCTTCCACAGTGCACACTCCATGAACAGCCTCAAGATCAGCCCTGTTGGTGGGGTGACTTCACAACAACTGCTGCACCAAAGCCTTGCTTTTAAAACCAGAATCACTTTTCACAGTTCTTAGAAACTGATATAATCCTGCATTTTTTTCTCTCTCACATTTGACTACCTTTTCTAACTCCTCCTAACTATGGAGTAATCTCAAATAGTGAGTGCTGCTGTCAGCCTTTAACCATGGATTTCTGTAGGGGTGGGGAAAGGCCAGTCCAGTGACAGGACCCTGAAGCTGCACAGCTGCACCAGGACTTGGAGAACACATCATGCACTCCACAAGCACAGTGTGTCCTGTGCTGGGAACAGGTGCAGAAGCCCACAGCACTTCCACTCACTGCTGACCCTTCTTCTGTCCTCCATGTGCAGCAGTGGGCTGCAGAGCTGCAGGTTTCAAACAAACAGACCTGGCTCTTGACACAATGTGGAATTAAGTGACGAAACTCCTCATGACAGCATGCTGGAGATAGTAAAGCACTTAGATATGTTTGTGAAAAGAAAAACTCAAAAAAAAGCTGGACAAATTTATTGAGGTGATTAAAGAAGACTCCACCCACTGGTACAAGGTGTCCTGGAAGGCTGGGGGATTATTCTGATTGCCAGGTATCTCCAGATGCTTGTTCTGGCTCAATCCCTCTCCCCAGGCATCTGGTTTTATTTCAGCAGGGCCAGTTGCCAGTTGGGACTGTTTACACGGAGTGTTCCACACTTGACTCCTCCAGATTACAGACTATATCCTGTCCCTAGTTAATCCTGACCACACACAATCCAAGTTTTCATGCTTTTAGACAAATATCAAAGCTGCAGGAGGGTGTCCTTGGGATACTTGTGGTACACAGTGGAAACAGAGCCCAGCACATCTCCAGGCAAACAGATGTGTGAGTAGCACGTGCACTGTGCGTGTTCTAAGTGCTTGTGTTCTCTCATGTGTTAAGGTGCTACCCAAGGACACACTTAATTCATGCTACTGCCTGAGGAAATGTGTGCCCTGCTGTAGGATACAGTGTCACACTGAGTTTGGCAGGTGCCATACACATTGTCTATTTGTCTGGTTGCTTAGTTGCCAAGCGTAAATAATTCAAAAATATCTGCAAGTGCTTTCCATCCTGGCATGTCTATGATCCAGACCAATCCAGTCCATCCACTTCACATCACAGAAAACAAAACAAGGATATTTATACAGCTGTAACTTGTTGCAAGGCAAACTACAGTTAGATGAAAAGACACTGGGGAAAGAAAACATTTGTAAAAATGACATGCAAGGGTGGAACTGTTTGTCATTGTAACTAGAGCTTGCAAGGCTTGTTTAAATTCTGTCCCCTACTCCACTATTATTTATGGTTCAAGCATTGAATTCTATTAAAAACACATGATCTGGTAAAGCAAATTCTACTATTTGTTCATCTAATTCAATAGAGAAGGGAGCTTCTAAGGATCACTGCAATACTGAAAATCCAGGAACCCCCAAATCCTCATCTCTTGCTTCATTTCAGTCAAGACCACAAGGAGAATTTTTTCCATGTGCAAACCTAGTGTTTGTAATCCTACAAAATAGCCCATAACTGGGTCCAACAGGCTGTTGGACACAACCCTTTCTACTTAAATGTTTTATTTTCACACTTTAATCCTGAAGTGCATGTCTACAGTATAGGGAAAATATTCACTGTCTTATAAATCAAATTATATGTTTTGGGCTGAATAATTACTGGCTAAAAAGTGCCATAATTAGTGCTTGTTTTATTTCTGTAGACTAGGTCTTGCAGTCCACAAATCCCAGTATTTGGGTTCTAAAATAACAAAACTAGTCTAGTCTTGTTTTAATGTAATCCCTGTTCTAGTGCCCCAGGATGTCAGTCTCATCTAATGCAGCTTGCTGCTCACAGTTGTACAATGCACTGGTTAACCAGTTTGCCATCTGTGCAGATTTACTTTATTGCTTCCTGTGATACAGCTCCCAGGAATCCAAAGTTTAGAAATGCCTGCATTTGAGATTGGCACTCTGCTCAAACAGTCCTGAGCACCCCTCGGGTTTCTTGTGGTGTCCTTTGAATTCCAGCCAGTCAGCACTGCCAGACACATGTGAGTTTTGGAGAAGTCTCACCAGAAGCATGCCTCATTTCTGTCTAAATTTAACGCTGTTTAAAGTTGACCTAATTTTAATCAGAGCAGCACAGTTTATATCAGCATAACCCAATACTGCAGCTGACACAGTCTTTCCCCCACTGCCATGCCATGAGCATCTATGCCAGTGAACAGTAATCCACGTCAGGGGACTGACCTGAGTAAAACCTTTCTTCCTCGCTTCCAAAAAGGCTGGATTAGACCTGAATCAGCCAGTTCCCCAATCCAGTGCAGTGCAATGTAGGAACAAACAACTGCACATGGGACCACTTTTCCTGGACTAGCTACATCAAGCTCAAGTTCTTGTGGAACAGGATTGCCATCACCTGCAGCTGATGCAGGACCAAAGAGATCATGAGCTACAACCACTGCCAGCCTGAAGGCTGGCTTCAACCCCTTCCCCTTGCTGGCTTCTAAGCCAGTGATCATCCCACAATGGGATCTATGCAGCATTGTTGTGATACTGTTGTGTATGTTCACCCTGCCTTAAACCAAAGGAAAATGAAAGCAACAGGCTGGATCTGAAGCATCTGATGGGGAGAGATGAAGAAGACAAATTATTTTTCCTAGTGATTCTTCCCTTATCCATCAGTTCAAGATAAAAAAAAACCTCACAGCCAAGCAGGTTACTTCAGGAACAGGGGGAAAAATTATCTGGAAGCTTTGAAGAATAACTTGTGGACAAGTGTGAATCTTTGCTACTTTCAGAGGTATTTTTAAGTCCTTGTGACACTGCATCATTTCTCTCCTCTGCTTAAGTTTCTGTATGTGCCCACAACATAGGCTCCAGAGAGTGAGCAGCCATAGCTGCAGAGGAAGTGGTTGTCCCTTTGAACTGGCAACCACAAAAAAGCTTTGGGATTTACAGTTTCCTTCCACTCCCTCAGCACCTTCCCATCCTGGCCTTGACAGTTGCATACACAGAAGTTCAGGTGTGTGTGTGTGCTCTCTCTCTCCTACAAGTATAACAGGTAAGCCAGAGCAGGAAAAAAGGACAGATAGTTGAAATAGTTAAAATCTGACCAGACACTGCTATTCCAACTCTGTTACCCTTAATTACAGGTCTGTGTGCAAAGGGTCTCCCCTGAGCCACAGCAGTGACCCCAGAGCTGTGCCACAGAGCACCCCGGAAGACAGCCTGGCAGGAGCTGGAACACTGATGAAGTTAAACTAGCAGCCCAGTTCAACATGCTCCAACCACTGCAGAGTGTTCCACCCTTTAAAACTCACAACTGAATGGATTTAGGAGCTGTTCTCATGAAATCAGTGTTTGAGGGTCAGCTCATCTCTGCTGGATCAAGTCTGAGCACGGGATTCTCTTCCTAAGAGTCCCGAGCAGTTTGAAATCTCTAGAGAAGCTACAGGGCTGGATGCAGCCTCAGCATGAGCAGGGGATGTACCTCATCTTATTGCCCCTGCATGAGGGTAAGAAATGAGGTTTTACCATGCATGAATCATGTGGAGATTCAGATCCAGAGAAGAAGAGGCAGATGTCCTCAGAGCCACCCCTTCTCTGAGGGATCCTACACAGACAGCATCAAGGAAGAAAAACCCACAGTGCAGTGCTGAGAAAAACAGGACTTAGCTATAGGTTTCTGGGGAACTTGCTTTATTTTTGGTACCAAACAGTGGGCCTGTTAGGAGATCTGACCTAAGGATCATCTTCCCCCAGAGTTCTCCAGCACAACTCAGATTGCCTCAAAAGGAAAAACTAAGAGGAAGGCTCTGGAAGTATTGAGGAGGCTGGTTCTGACAGCAGTTTGGCATGTTTCTTCCTCCTAATTCAGCTGAAACTTCTCCAAAGGATCAGAAAGGCAGCAGAGGAGGAGAGGGAAAGTGAGGACTCAGGAGTCTCTGGGCTCTAACTACTTGTCATCACCCACACAGCCAAGGAGCTGAATAGCCATTTAGCTGCACTCTTCTGCACAGAGCTATGGCTCACTGCAACATGCTTTGTGTTACTGCACCAGGGAGACAGCCCCTTCCATAAAGCTGGATAAGAACTGAATTAAATACATTTGTGTTTTGAAAAAAATTACAACATAACATTTCAACAGTTGTGATTAATTGATATTTAAAATAGAGAGGAAAAATAAAGCCACGATACATTACTCACCCCTCGGCACTTCTGCTGGGACCGCATCCGTAAGGATAATATTTACACAAGGAAAATTATACAAAACCACAACCAAAAACCAAACAACAACTACTCTCAGACACACACTTACCTGGGGCCCTTGCTCAGTTCTGGCATCAAAGGGGTCTCCAACCAGTCTCTTCTTGGCAAACTCCACGCTGCGCTTGACGAACTCGGGGTAGATCTGCTCCTCCACGAAGACGCGAGAGGCGGCCGTGCAGCACTGCCCCTGGTTGAAGAACACGCCTTGGTGGGCACATTCCACTGCCAAGTCCACTGTGAGAAGACCCAGGAGGGAAAAGTGTTACCACATGCACAGTTCCAGCATTCCAGTGTTTCCAGACTTGTTGTTTTCCCTTCTCTTTGGAAAACCTCGTTAAAAAATGCTGACAATGGTCCACACCCATGGAAGGCACTCACAGGGCCTCACTGCCCCCAAACCAGATCTTTTATTGCATCCACCTCCCTTCCTGCCTTTTGTCTTGAGGTCTAGTTGGCCATAGTTCCTGATACTTTCTTCCACAAGGATTCACTGAAGGCAGTGACCAGTTTTTCTTGCTCTGGCAATCCTTGATACCACGCATTGGTTCTTAAAGACAAGTTTCAGTCATGATTGCTCAGAAAGCAGCATGCCAGCTTCAGCCAGCTCCTTGCAATCCTCACAATTAGCAGCTGGCACAAATACCTCTGATTTTCAATGTGTGCTGTGCAGGACTGGAGAGGATTTTCCTGAAGCCAAATAGGATTTTCCAACCATTTTGGTGGTCACAGATTAAACATATCTCCTGGTACCACTGAGTCATGTAACAAAATGGCAATGAAACACACAAGATGAGCCCTGCAGACCACCAGGATAGAGGTGAAGGCTGGATTACATCAGGTCCTACAAAATTCCCCCGTCACAGCAATGCCTGCAAAGGGGCTGCTTTGCAGAAAACTGCTCTCCCCTGCGCTTGGCTCAGGCTCTGCAGCATTGCCAACCAAAGAGAAAGCCCACAAATAGCAAACACAGAAATGCAAGATTTAACTGCAACTGCAGCCATCCCCAGGGAAGGCACCACGGGCCATGGGAATGATCCCCATGCTGGGGAAGAGCTCCAGGAATGCACATCTACATCCTGCCTTTGGACAGAGGTTTCCTCCAGCCTTTGGGGTGGAACCAGCAGCCCTGTGAGCTGCCAGAGGACAGCAGAGACACAAAGCCCACCACCCTGGATCCTCTGACAGCAAACACAGCCAACAGCCCATACTCACAGTCTGCATCTGCACACACAATGCAGGGGTTCTTCCCTCCCAGCTCTAACGTCACCCTTTTGAGGTTGCTCTTGGAAGCAGCTTCTTTGATCAGTTTTCCAACCTGTATCAGTGAGACACAAAGAGGACATGAGTTGTTTCCCCCAGAAATCTCAAGTGTGACTCCAACAAAGGTGGAAGAGCCTGGATGGCAGCTGCAACAGGTAGAGGTGAGGGAGAAACTCTGAAATGCTTTGAGTTTGCTACTGCTGTAATGTGTTGGGTCAAAACCAGCCCCAGAATTAAGGATTGGTTTAGGCAGGTCTGAAAGGGCAGGCTGTGTGGGAGAACTACATCTGTATTCTGCTTTCAGAATTTTGTAAACTAATTCTGTTAGTAACAGTATGAATTAAAACTATTTGGTTCCTTTAGTTGTTAGGGCAGGATAATTTCTTAAGAGTGATGTAATATTTGAATTTGCTCATATTGTAACTGTTTTCTTGTATTTTACATTTGCACATGGAAACCTTTACCTTTATTTCTGACTAAAACTGCTCTTGCCCTGGAGTGGAACTGTGAGGAAGGAAAGCATGGGGCAGCTGTCTGGTAATAACAGGTCTGCATTTCTCATGGTTTGCCCTTGTTACTCGAGCATGGCTCCTGACCTCAGGAGAGATCTTCTCTAGTCACTCAGAGCTTAGGCCTGGGACAGCAGAAATAAGTGATGCTTCCCAGCTTTGCAAGAGGCTTTACTGCAGGCTGGCTGGCCAAAGAGGAGTGAGTTAATAACCTAAGAGAAGAGATCTATATGGGAAAATTCTCGTGGAGTTTAAGATCAGCATTTCCAAGCTGGCACTGAGCCCAAGTTGGGGCTTAATAACTAAATCAAAATATATTTTAAATTAGCTTCACTTCCTGGCTCAGAAACAGTAGCATTGTGCTGCAAATGCTGCAGAGATGCAGCTGAACTCACAGATGGGTGGAGGGGGAAGAAAACACTTCTAAATTACACATGCATTAGCAAAGGATCTGTCTCCCTTGGTGTTTCCTGCACACCCATGGATTAGGAGACAAGCACAGTGTCTACAGGAGTTTTTTGCCTACAGGCTCCAGCAGCTGAGATTTTCCTTCTGCCACTAATCCACTGGATAGTCCTTTTTCATTAAAAACCCAAACAGATCCATGTGGGCTGGATGAGTCTATAAGCTCTATTGTTTCCACACAGCTAATGTCTCATCTGGGCTAAAAATTTCTAAACTAGGATTTGGAGAGAAGCATGTAACTGAATAAACTCCAAGATCAGACCAACTATCAAGAGAGGACAACCTCACTGTGAACTTATACTTTATTGTGCTCTGTTTGTTCCCATGATCCCTGTACAGAAACATAGGCTTAGCACACCTTCTCCTCTGGGATAAGCCCAGGATGTACACAAAGCCACTAGATGGTAGTGTTGGTAAATGCTGCAGCTTTTGAGTGTTTGGAGTTACCTTTACCGACCAAGAACACCTTTCAAGGTAATTTGTCATCATTGCACATTCACATCACACTCTGCAATTACAAGGGCAGACTTAAGAATGGATGAATTGAGCAAATGCTCAACAAGAACAGTGTTCCTCAAAGAACTAAGAGACTGAATTTGCCTCAGCTGCCTTCACTGTGTGAGCATTTCCATTCTTTGGACACTGCCTCCATTCTGGAGGTGTAGATCTACTGCAAGAAACATCTAAAGCAGTCAGTGGAAAAATGTTCACTTTTCTAAGCAAGCTTTTGTTTGAGAATTTTCAGCAGTGATTACTGCAGTCAGATTTGTTTGCATGTCTCAGCTCTGCTCAACTGCATGGTCTTGGCCAAGTCATATGCACTTTTCCCATGTAGGTATGGAAGAGGATGGCTGGAGGTGATTGATAGTGCAGAGGTTTTGTGGCCACCTCTCTCTCAACAAGCCAGACACATCTATTTACAGGAAAAAAAGCTAAATAGAAGGTGCTTTACTGTGCAGGCCTCAGAATGAAGCTCAAATGTTAATCCCCTCCACGTCAGCAGAGAAGGCCTTAGGCACAAAGCCATGTTTTTATTTAAGTCCTAGCTCCTCAGAGGTAAATAAAGCCAAGGAAGAATTGTTCAGGGCTCTGACTGACATGTTTTCCAGTTGCAGGGCAGGACTGGCAGGCAAACATGCCCAGAAGCTCCACTGGGTCAATGACAAGATGTTAAGTCACTGCCAGCCTGCCCTGCAGACTGCCTTCCCTTACGTCAGAGCCCCTTTTCCTACAGTCCTTAGAGAAATGTGGTGGTTTGGCAAAACCCAGCTCTCAGAGATGTGGGATTATTGCAAGCACAAGGATCTGAATTAGACACAAACACTTCTGAGAAATCCTGTCACATGGAATGTGCCAGAGGAAGTGCTGGTTATACAGAAGTCACTGACATCTCCTAGGTTCAGTCTTGTATGGATGACAGTTTGCAAGAGAAAGCAAAGAGGAACAGCAGGTGTCTTTGAGAAGTCCAGCACCTACCTTGGTCGATCCAGTAAAAGCAATTTTATCAATGCTGTCATGGGTAGAAATTGCAGCTCCAGCTGTGGGGCCATAGCCTGGCACAATGTTCACCACACCTGGAGGGAAACCCACCTGAAACAGAGATTAAAAACAGCTCTGTAGAGAATTTGAGAGCACAGCTCATTTCCCAGGAAGCCTGGATTAGTTGTACTATACTCCTCTGAGCTCTTACCAGATACATCCCTGTTTTCCAGGCTTTCCAGTAACATGGCTGCATGCTACCAGCTGGAGTAGACGTGGGTGAAACTAACAGCCATGCTTAGGAAATGCCAAGTTTCAGGAAGAATTCTTGGAGAAGTCCCAGTTTCAAGTCAAAAGAGAGTGACTCTTTTGGCCAAACTTGGCCCCCGGCTACTGCAGTGCAGCTGCAGCCAAGGGGTAAATGAATGAAAGTTTGTTTTGAACAAAGGTTGACATTTGTGGTTCTTCAGGGACCAGAGGGATTAAGAAGTCAGTAAAACCTCACTAGATGATGGGGCTAATAAAACAGGAGTACAAAAGCAGATGGTAACAAGACTTATGCAAGTTTCCACCACATTTACAACCTAGATTAGCCAACTAGTAGTTTTGCCAAAACAGACAAATGGCAAAACTTCAGGTGAAATTCTAGTGCAAGGAGAACTGAGGGACTGATTGGTTTGGTTTTAGTTCCTGAAACAAGAGTTTCAACAATTATTGCTCACCTAGGTTGGCCTTCCCTTACTACTGATAGCACAATGTTGTTTTCCTTGCAATTTCTAATGATGAAATTCCAGAATATAACACATTTGCTTCATTTCCTATGACTTTTTAATACAAAACCTCAATAAATGCCATTTCTTTGCAATAGAGAAAAAAGGAAGCAATTGCTCATGTACCGTCTTGCAAAAAAATTATCCTCATAAGACTTTTTCCCCCTTTTTTTCTTTTCATAAATTGGAAGGGTGGTCACATTTCTTCTATGGATGTGACAATGACAAAAATGCATTTAATGGAGTTTGCATCTTGGCTAATGAGTTTTCAAGCAAATACTGCATGTCAAACTGTGCAAGTAATGATGTTTGGAGTCAGCAGCAAAGCCACAAGGAAGTAAAAAATTGGTTCAGAACACCCTGAGCCAAAAAGTTTTTTCTGTTTTTCAGCAAAAATGAAAGCCAAATATTTTGGTTGGCCAAAAATTATTTCATTGGACGTAACATATAGCTTTGTGTGTGTGGTAACATCTTCTACATCCTTTTAAAGATGAAAACCAAAAAATTTTAATTCATTTTTCTGAAAAACTTAAAAGAATTTAGCTAATTTTGGGCAGAGAAAAGAGCATCTCCAAAAAAAATTATTGTGCTCTAATTACACTTCTGCCTTGAAGGACTACTGTGAGAAATAGCAACCTTAGAATTTCAGCTGAACAAAATAATTTTACCAGAACTGAATGGTATTTTTTGGGGGGGGAATGCTATGCCTGTGTTTGGGGAGCTGCATGTCAGAGTCAAAAAAAGCAGTGGTGTGGCAGGGCTCAGTAGAAGTCATGACAACTGCACCCTGTACTCATTCACTCCTCTTGTGTAATCTCATTAAGCCAAGTAACTGTAGGAGATACTTAACTGGTATTATTTTTCCACTTCCTTTCCTGATGGAAGAGCCCTAAGTGACAATTATCAACATATTTTTCTATTTTCTCCCAGGCTAAGCCAAGAAAGGACAAAATCATCGTTTGACTGAGCCTAACAAAGAAACTGAGAGGCCAAAGCCCATCTACAACTCCTTTAGTTTTCCTCAGCCACTCACATCCATAGCTATAGGAAGCTGATGTACTGAGCAGTGCTGGAAGGTTCTGTGCATCTCCCACCTCCTCTGCACAATTAACAGACCTGTTGGCACACAAGATCCTACCTGACAAGCCCTAAACCAGCATTTTAAAATCCCAACCTATCATCTTGCCTTTATTTCAGTTGACTTTACAGGCCAGACACAACTACATTGCTCTAGAAACCACAGAAATGACGAGGAATTGTTTCCCAGGGCACTCTGTCTTGGTTAAATTATCCCACTTAAAAACAACAAACACAACACTGCTGTCTAATCACACTCTTTTTTGTCCCACTAATAAAACTGAGCTGTTGCCTTTCCCTCATTTGGGAGAGGGGAAGACAAGATAGGGGAAGAAAAGCATCTTTTTTTTCCTCTCTGCAGCTTCCTGAGAAAGGAGAAAAATGCAGAGGTTTTGTGGCGTTTGCCACCTCCCAGCCAGTCACAAAGGCCTTTGGAAAAAAAGACCGAAGACAGAGGTTGTTCTCACTTTCCTTTGTGAGCCTATTAAAGCTGGAAGTCTGTTTGTTATGTTCAGACTCTTTAAAACCTAAAAACCAATTCAAAATACAGCCTTGCTTATGACCTTAAGAGAGCAGAACCTGGAGGGGCTGCTGAGATTCCTCACCTCCTTGATCAGAGAGCCAATGTAGAGCGCCGTGAGCGGGGTTTGTTCAGCTGGCTTGACGACCAGGGTGTTTCCACAGCACAGAGCTGGTGCCATCTTCCAGACCAGCATCAGCAGGGGGAAGTTCCACTGCAAGAACACAAGGCACTGCTCAGATCAGCCTGCCACAGTCACCTACTCACTTCCATGCAGCCTTTTCCCAGCTCAGGGAGGAAAGGAGCTGGGAGGAAAGCCACAAAGAGGAGCGTCTGTTTATAATGCTGTGTTTGCTTGGGCTAAGGAGTACAACTTCCTTGATTTCCCCCTGAGAGCCCTGATATTGCTGGCAGTCCTCACACTAATCCTGTAAGCTGGACAACCTTCTGCATGATGTGACCTCATTCTTTGAAGGAGTTTGATCACATTTTGTGTAGGATTTTGGCTCGTCAGAGATACTGTGTTGGAAGCACTTTCCTGGTGCATCACTTCTGTACAGCATCTGTATATGGGGAATTACAGAATGCAACTACTCATTGAAAAAAACCTATTTTTTCTCTGTTAAGCACTGGCTGAGTAGTTAGGAGTTATATAATATCATTCAGTTCCAGTTTTATAAATAGGAAGCTGCAGTGAGTTGTTCAGTCATGGAAATTTAGGGGAGGTCTCATACTTCCTTCATATTGTAAATTGTTCCTTTCCAATTAGTTTTCTAATTTGGAATTAGGAACCAGTCCACATCAGTTTTCTCTGTGCTAATCTCTTTCATGGTCATGTATATTTGGGGATCTTGGAGTCTAAGCAAGAAGTGGAAAATCTAGCTCACACTGAATCTCAGAAAGGTCATTTGGCAGCAGAAAGGATTTTTTCATTAAAAATAATTAATACTGCTTCAGGGATGATGGAAGCAGGCCAAGAGCAAGGGGACTTCTTGTCAAAACCTAAGCCAAGGGCCTTCAGCTATCAACAAAGAAGCCAAGTATGTCAGGAATCCACAAATTCACACTTACAAATAAATTAGCAGTGTAGCTTTTGAGCCATGAGTTCTATTCTAACCCTGAGACAAAGCAGAATTTGGTCTCAAGTGTTATTCTTCAACTTGCTTCACCCTTTCCCCAGACCTCTTCCATTTCAGCGATCTTCTCCAATGGCCACATCCCATAATGTTCCCATTTGTCTTTTTTCTCCTAAGTTTTCTTGGAGGCCTGGCACTTGAGCCATTTATACCTACACTACTTTTCTACAGTTTCAGAGCATGAAATCGCTCCATTAGGAGCTTTCTGCTGCAGTGGCTGGTGAAAGTAACAGTGAAGGACTCCAGGGCTGCCTCATGATATCACCTTGGGATAAAAAACAGCCCATATGCTGCACTTCCTAAGAACTTCTCTAGCTAAATAAAAATAAAATATTTAAATATAGGCAAGCCATAGGAGAAAGGGAGGACTGGTAATTGCTCTAGGGAAACATAGCCAGGACAGTGACAGAATCTTTTTCAATCAAGTAGGAAATACAAACCCACAGGCTGTTGGTGTTATCGAGATTGAACAAGGAAAAAAAATTGGAGAAGATTTGTTCTGAGTAAACTGAAGACAGATGTGGTTTTGTTGACCCCAATCATTCTTTATACAAACTCAGTGTTGATCTTAAGTCAAATTTGTTTCTGTACTTTCTGTTGTATTTATTGCTGGTCTAGGGTCAACCTGAGATCTTACAAGTCCCACTCTGTCTCCTACAGTGGCCTTCCAAAGCATCCTGCATGTAGGCTTTTAAAGGGACATCTTCCAAAGCACTGCTGAGTGCCAAAGGTGGCTGAGAGTGACAGGGAAAATACCTTTTAACTGGTGATCAGTGTGAGGAACCTGAGATTTTGATCTGAAGTCATAAATTCTGCTCACCAGCAGTCACATTGCTTGCTCAGCCAGAAAAGTTCTGAAGCCACCAAGAGAAATGTTTGATAACCTCTTACTTTGCCTCACCCTGACACTGCCAAAGGGACTGTTGTCCTCTTGTCACCTGGGGTACAAATTCAGTCCTGCTGAAGGAAAAAGCAGAATGACCCCAGACATCTTTGGGATCCAGACCTGGTATTCCCAGGGTCCAGCAGATATGCATTTCTTTCAGTCTTATCTCAAAAGTCAAAACCCTCCAGGAGCTCTTATTGATCCAAGTACCATATAATCATGGAACATCTTGAGTTGGAAGGGATCCACTGGGATCATCAAATTCCAACTCCTGGACCTACACAGGACAGCAGCAAGGCTCCCACCACAGGTCTGAGAGCATTGTCCAAAGACTTCTTGAGCTCTGGCAGACTTGGTGCTATGTCCAAACAGAATCTTGACACAGCACCATTTGCCTCACAAATTGTAGGATACCACATTCAAAGCATTTTACAACCAGACAGGAACAAAATCTGTCTCCCATGAGCTGTAAAGTCTTCCTGGCTGTCTGTTGAAACAGAGCAAGCAACACATGCTAACACTGGAGGCATTCCAAGAGCTAGCCACACTGTCCCCTCAGCAGAGAATGAGACCTCAAGGAAAAGAAAACTATTCATGAGATTTAATCCCAGAAAGCTCAGAGAGCAGCCAGACATAATTAATTGATAATGGATATGATTTAAAACCCAAAACTATGCATCAGCACAAGGCAGCAGAAAGCCAGCACTCCTCATGACAAGATGGTTGTCCCAGCAGTGTGAGAGTCAGAGCTCTGACTGCTCTCTGGTGACTGGTGTCAGCCTCAGAGAGCCACAGAGCATCTGATTAGGAGACCCACCCTTCCAGTGCAGAGCACTTCTGTTGCCAGGAGCAATTGGCATGGGGGTAAAACACAAAACTACATCAGGCCACTGAGATGGGAGTTCCCTGCAGAACAGCTGTGCTTAGCCAGGCAGCACAAGGCTGCAGGGTAGGATGGAGAGCACGTGGAATTTCCAGCTCTCTGTGAGATGCAGGGCACCAGCCCTGTCACTTACTGGGGTTATGGCTCCACAGACACCCATGGGCTCGTGCCGGGTGAAACAGACAAAATTTTCATCTGCAAGACAAGAGAGTAAAAGGGCACAAAACAGTCAAAATCCTCACTTTTACAGAAGGTGTGTTGGGGACAGAACTAAGCCCCTGTTAGACAGAGAACACTGTTCATCCTGACTCATGCCTTTGTCCAGATGAAGATCTGAGTACAGGTCTTGTGCCAGCCTGAAAGCCAAACAGCACTCACAGTCACACAGGAACCTTTTAAAACCAGGGTTCAGTTCCTTCTGCAAACTCCCTGTGTTGAGGCTGAGGGGAGGATAACTCATTATCACACTGATATGAGCAAACAAATTTCCTTCAGATTGTCCTACTGAAAAACAAAAAGCACTTGTGTCCTTGAGGGAGGGAGTTTTAAAACCCACTTTATACAGGAATCCTGTTCAGTGTGACAGGAATTACACTCCTGGTAAGAAATCATAACAAGATGAAACTCTGGAACTAAAGTAGTACTATTCACCTTAAAATACTGCTGCTGCTCTTTCACAGAGAAAGCAGGAAGAACATTTGCCTTTCAAACTCATTCTTGCTGAACACCTAGTTTCTTTGGGAAGATGTGACAGACAGCAAGAACATTTCTAATGATGCTTTTTCAAAGTGATTTCAAATCAGGACAAACAAGGAGTGTCCAGACAAGCAAAGCTTTACACCACTGAATGAGGGTGACAAATCTCAGTTTATATGACTGACATGGCTCCTTTTGCTGTCTGCACAGACTGAACTAGCTCAGCCCTCCAGAGCCCTTCCTCTGGTGACTAATTTCTGTCTGCAGTGTCTGTCCTTCACACAGCCTCAGAGATCACCCACATGCAGGGACAAAAGAAGCCAAATTTTAAAATACTCCATATTGTCCATCATGCCACAAGGACATCCATTCTCTTAACTTGCTCTCACCAAAACAATATTTGAACTTCTACACCTGGACCAAAGTGCTCTCTCTGTGTGACTGCTCTGACCAAAAGTTTCTCTGTTAAAAAAGCAACAGAAGAGCCCACACATTATTTTCCAGAGATCTATCCAGGCATTAACCAAGTTCTCCCATTAGTTTCAATATTGAAACACATCTGCTTAAAATGCATCCTGAGATAGAAAGGAAGTGCAGGCTCTTTTTGCAGGTTTTCAGAAGCCAGCCTTTCCATGGATCTCCCTCCCCCTCAAGCCTGATCCCATCCCAGCTCTGAAGGTACTCACCCACTGGAATAGTTCTGCCCTGAATTTTATCAGCCCATCCAGCATAGTAGCGCAGGGTTTTGATGCAGCCTTCCAGGTCAATGAAATAAGCCTGCAGAAAAGGTTTTCCTGTGTCCATTGTTTCCAGAGTCTGAAAAAAACCAATTTGCATACACTGTCAGACAAGGCAATGTTTTGGGGTTTTTTTTTTCCTTAAGAAAGAGCTTTTAAAACCCTCTTCTAAGCTTTATTGTGCCTTGTTCTGAAGACATGGAATGTTCTTCCCTCCTCTAATATTTAGATAATGAGCTTGTTAATACAAATAATGCAGAAGGGAAAGCAGACACAGTAACTCTGTGTACAGGAGCTGCTTTGTTCAGGAGCACCTTCCAGAAGCCTCCAGAAGGTGAGTGTGGGTGGGATACAGGCTGGGGTCTGGGGCACTGGTCAGAAACAATGTGAGTATCATGATTTCACCCTAACTGACCTTCCAGCACAGATGTTCTGGAGTCCAGATGGTGTCACTGAAATCTATTTTCTATTAGAAAAAGAAAGAATCTAATTTTTCTACTTCATAAGCCTATACCAGAAGGCTTTTCAGAGGTTGGGTTAAGTAACCTCTGGGCTCATATCTGTGCTGAGCCCAGGGCAAGGCAGAATTTGCCTCACTGAAGCTGCACTGGTGCTGATCAGCTCTAAACAAAATCCAGGGTGAGCCTGTGTCCCTCACACTGTTCTGATCATTAGCTCAGGGAATGCTTTGTTCTCCACTCAGGTCATTAAATGGGATATTGGTGCAAATGGCCAGCACATCCATAAAGGAAGTACTATCCCTTGGTAGATTGAAACATCTTTGTTTACACATGAAGTCATACCCTGTCATGCTCCACAGACATCAGGGTCCAAACAGCACTCAAACAGACATTCCCCTTGGAATGGCAAGAATTGTTATCCACTGAATGTCTGCTAAAACAACTGATTTTTATAAGTCATTGCTTAGTACACAGCCAAGGCAGCCAGGGCTGGATTTCTGCAGTGCAAACAGCAATGCCAAACAAATTCTTCCAGACCAGAAGGACCACAGCAAGCTTGAAGTGTGTTCTGGTTAAGGGAAAAGGAGGGTGCCCCAAAGTCACATCAAAAAGTGAGCAGAAAATAAACAGGGTTTATTCACACACACACATATATATATGTATTTCTTCCCTCTTACTTGCTGCCCAGAACTGTCTTCAGAACAAAATGTTTTGGTTTTGCCCTGCTGAAACTGAAAGCTGTCCTGCAGTTGAGTGACACTGTGTTGGGGAAAGACCCAGCTCAAAACAGTCACACAGGTACAGGCTCCTGAGCACATCCCTCAGGTGTCAATTCCCTCTGACCCCAGCAGGGCACTGGCTCAGTTATCTGCACATCTGACAGCATGCAATGTCATAAATGCATTTCCCTGAAGATAAAAGTGCAGCACTGAACTGGAGAGCGCTGAGATCCAAGAACTTAGGTGTGGATGGACAGCAGCCCCAAGCTGAGATCTCTGGCTGCCATTTGGAAAGATGTACAAGGCCTGTAGAGTCCAAAGGCTTCTACCAACTGAACACATTTTAAGTACTAATATATTTAATCACTTCAATAACTAGCTAAAGTCCTGCAAAAGTCAACTATGTAGAAGAACTGACAGCCTTCTAAAGCCCCTAAAGTCCTGCAGAAAAAGGAACAAAGTCATGACTCCTGTCTTCTGCCCTTCATGAAGGGAGAGAACAGAAAAATATTAGGTAGGTAGGGATACACCAGAGCCAACTGCTGCTGGCTTATCACTGCTCCCAGTACTCACTGCCAGGATGACTCTGTCCCTCTCCAGGAGATCAGCCAGCTTGTGCAGGAGTCGTCCTCTGCTTGGGGCATCCATCTGTCTCCATGGAGAGCCCCTCTGGAACGCTGCCTTCGCTGCCTCCACTGCATTATCCACGTCAGGCTACACAACACACACACAGGAAAACCTCAGGTTACAAGGAAGGAGCTGGACAATGGCACAGAAACCCCTCCTAGTTGGTGCTGTGGTGGCCAAAACCAAGTTGTCTAACAAAACCACTTTCATTTCACTCCTGGATTTGAATTCAAGCCTGGAATATGTTTTATGTTTGGCCTGAGCTCATAAACAACCTTGAGGCCTGAATACCAATTGGGTCTTTCAAGGATAATTTAATGTAACTGACTTGTTTATAAAATAATCCAGAATCATGTTCCTGCCAATACAGGATGTGACACTGGGGGAGGATGAAGAATCATGACAGGCCACTGGCCTACATGAATTAGCCTCCTCTAAACAAGTGTGGGCAGGAAAATCCCCCATGAGATCAAGATTTTACCCAGGGAAGTAATTACAGCTCAGATCCCACCATCCAGTTCCCCTGGAGCCCATGCCAAGGCAGTTAACACACCAAAAATCACCCTTAGATCCTAGAACACATTCCCAGAACACTTCTACCAGATGGGAAAGGTTTTGCTATTCAGTGCTATGACAAAGACATTTCCCCTAAACACACTGAGTGCCATTGTCCCTTCATCTCCCAACAGCTTTACCATCCTCTGGACCAAATCCAACTCTGTTTAACCAAGTTACTAACCAGATGGGGAGCAAATTCCTCTCTTCCCACACCATCACCCCTGGAGCTTCATTCATTTGCTCTGGCCACTGTATGCTCTGGACTCCTCCCATCACCTCACACACATTGATTAAAAAAGTGAAGCCAAGGGCTTCCAATGCAATGGGATCTATGGGAACACTGCCACCAACATGCACAAGGCCAAGGCTGTACCCCCAAGCACTGATAAAGCTTTGGGCAGATTCCTGCTGTGTGTAAAGCCTCATTTCAGCTGATGGAGAACTTGCACCTCACTGCAATATCTGGTTCAAAAGGCTGGGAAAGGAGGGAAGGTGTCAGACCTTGACCATTCCTCCCAGCACTTCACCAGTTGTCTCATCTATACCTTTTCTCAAGTCTTGTCTGGATACAATTAGGAAATGACCCTCTGCATTGATCCAACAAGGTCTGGCCACATCCCCCTCACAGGAGGGGATGTGGGGTGCTCAGTCCAGAAAAAAAACATTGTAGGGAGCCATGCTGCCTTCATGGTCACAACTGCAAGTCATCACCCAAGGCAATGGCACCCTACATTAAATTTGGCTGCATTTCTTTACCAAGCAATAACACAGCTTTGAAACAGTCTGACCTATACTGTCAGGAAAAGAGTTCCATCCTTCTGGAAGAGCACTGGTGGGAAGCCATTGGAGGAAACTTGTGCTGTCACAGGATGGCTCTGGTCCAGCTGGTGGGGCAGAGGTGCCCAGAGCCACTGAGCACAGCCAGGCAGGTCCTGCCTGGAGCCATCACCCACAGCCACCACAGGCCTTTGAATGGCTCACTCTGCTGGAGTTGATCTGGATTCACATTGGCACATCACAAAAGCCAGAAGGCACCACCAGCCACTGCACACATGTATCCCCCATCCTGCCTGCTGGAATGAAGGCAATAATTTATGTGACAGAGCAGGCAAAGGAACATAAGTGTGTCAGGTTTAAACAAGCCTTTCCTTAGCAGCAATTAATTAGTTCTGCAACCAGGCTGGGAGCACTGATGTGCAGGGAACTGGGTCTGCAGTGGCACAATGCCATTGGTGCTGAGGGTCTTCCCTCCACCCTGGCACTCACAACAGGAGTGAGACAACTGCATGGGCAGAGGACTTCAGTGCATGCTCAGATGTTCCCCAGCCTCTAAAAATGGGAGCACCTGAGCCCTGCTGCAGTTCCTGTAGAGACAAAAATGAAGACAACCATCTTTCTGAGATATTCTGGGTACAAAAATTGGCTCAGAGCTTCCAGTCACTGTCATGCAGGCTTCCCCTAAACACCCTCAGGGTAGCACCACCAAGTGATATCCTGAGAGCCTTTCTGCACAGCCTCAATAGTCCTGAGAGACCAGCAAAAACAAGGAAATCCTTCAGGAAGGCTGAAATGCCATTCTTAATCCATCCTGTTATGACTAGGCATTAGGGGAGTCTGAATGGCATGTTCATTGCAGGCATGTTGCAATAGGTAGGCACAAGGCGTGACAAAGTGACTCTGAGCTGTCAAGGTGCCAGGAACACCCTGTGGTGCACAAAACCACAGCAGGAGGAGATCCACGCATCCTGGTGCTCCACTCGGATCTATAACAGATTTACTGACATTACATAAAAAGCTCCACTAAGAATATTAAGATTGCAAAGTCTTTACAGTGTTGGGAAATGCCTGCAAACCTTCATAGCCACCTGGGGTGTTTGAATTATGATACAAGCCCCAGTTACACAATCACATACCTTCCCCCCTGAACAAACTGAACACTGTTCTTTGTTCTGAGCTGCCTCGTCCATCTTCCTCCTCTCCCTCAAGTCCTGCTCATTGCTGCTCCTTTTTTCTTTCCCATCCTCTTTTCCTCTCTCCTGCCCCAGCACAGGCTGCAGAGCACAGTGAAGACCATCACCCCACTGGCTCTGTGACTGGGAAAACACCTGCAAAAAAGCCTTGCTCTGCTTCAGTCTCAGGGTGCCCCAGAGTGCTCCAAGTGAGGAGATGTGCCAGGCATGGAGCACACCCCGGGGACCCTCTTTCTTCAATTCACCTACTGACTTCTTCAAAAAGCCTCCCCTGTGCACATCTTTGGAAAGGCACTCTTCTGACATAGGGCATGAGCATGTCACAGTTTTTCAGTTAGAAGAGGTTCCCTGACCTGCTCCCCTGCAAACAGTTCACACATTGAATTGCTTTAAGTTCCAAACAGCATCCTAAAATGTCCAAAATCATTATTGAGGGCACTGCAAGTCTACTGTGGTCTTACCTCAGTCTGCCACTACAATCTGAAGGGGACAGGCTGACTGTGAACAAACCCCAACATTCAAAGATCCACTAGAGGGTGAACTGTTTAGAAATGATCATGACAGAGACTTGACAGTCATAGCTGTGGACCTGCTGCCCATGCTCTGAGCAACTGAGCTGGGCACTGCTTTGAGGAAGGTGCACTTTTCCCCGTCCTTGATGGATGTCAGCAAGCTGCTACAAGAAAAAAGCCTGTCTCCAAGTGTTAGGGACAGCACCAGAGTTACTCCTTTTCCATTACCATCCTGGCAAACAGTTGGACACTAAGCTTTTATTTGTCAGGTATATTCCAGCATCCAGTGGAAACATCCACCATTTTATTTTCAGGGCGTCTTTTTCCACACAGACATCTCTTTATCCCTCAACTGTCCCATCAAGGACAATTCTGTAAGTAAAGAACAGACAACAAAACCTTTTCTTCTAGGCTTATAAAGCATTGGCCAAGTTTCAGCACCAGACTAAACTGTCATCGCTGAGATATCGGCTGCCAAATTTCCACCCCTCATGTGCAGCCTAAGCAAAACACTCTGCATGGCCAGGGAGGGGCAGGTTTGTGTTCAGGGCTTGGGAAGGGGAGCTCAGCTGTGCTCTGCCAATGTTGGGCTGTAGCAGGAGCTGCCACCCCTGCAGTGGCACTGGCCTGCACAGAAAGTGCAGTGGCACAAGGGGACAAGGCTCTGGAAAGCAGCACTGAGCACAACTCACCACTTCCTGTGGCAACTCCAGCAGACTGGAGTTACAGCCCCACGAGGGGATGAACCAGAGCAAGGGAAGCCTCAGGGACCTTGGCTGGCCAGAAGAGGGTGGGATGTGGTCAAGTGCCAGCAGAAGGCAAACAGCTAGTTGGGGATGGTTGTCACCCAGTACTCTTTTTAATTAATCCAGATCCAGGTCTAATCCCTACTCAGTTTCTTGGAAAAGCCTAGTTAGAGCAAAATATTGTTTTAAAAGGTGAGATGTATAGAAGAGGCTTTCAGCACCCAAAGCAGAGCTAGCTTACATTTTTGGCTACAATTTCCATTAAAGAAATCAGTCACCTGTACTGAGTATTCAGGGGGTGGGAGCTCCACTGGCTAGAAAAGTTTACAGTGACCCTCCTGCAAGCTAGAAGCTGAATTCAGAGAGGGGAAAAATCTCAAGGAGGCAAAACTGGCCTGTTAGTTTTGTATAAGAATTTTCTTTAGCCAACATTGAGAAGCAAGCACAAACTGCACATGTAATACTCTCTATAGCTGCTTGAGGACACGCTTAGCTCAGGGAGCAATAACAACGTCATGGTTTCTGCCTATCAAAATACACTTGCATCAGAGTCAGCTTCAATTCCACTGTTTACATGCCACTGCAATTAAACACAGTTGTGTCCTACCCAGTCAGGATAAAGAAATGACACATAATGTTTGGTTCTGCCTCAATGTGTAATTGCCCCATGGATGCACAGATCCCCAGTGGCAGTAAGTCTTGGAGGCTGCCTCACAAGCACTGGACAAGCTTAAATACCAAGAACAAGAAGTCAGTGCAGGCAGAAATGGCCACGCTGCCCATCACTTACTGCCCACAGCAATGAGCTACCAAAGCCCTGGCACAGCACAGCAGCTGTGAATCACCTTCCCATGACTTCCTGCACAAAGCCAGATGTTGGCCCAGCTCTTTTCCATAGGTCAGACTAGTTGGCCCATACATGATGAGCTGTTTTGGACAAAAAAGTGTCACATGTGATTGTTCCTCACCTCAGGCTGTTACCAAACCCAAGCAGTAACATCTCAGGTTACTCTACAGCACACAAAAGATTACTAAAGCTCTTGAGATACTGGTTTGGTTTTAGTGAGAGCTGCCACATTTGTGCAGGAGACCAGAACCCACAATACCAGCCAGAAAAGCAGCACCACATCTTCAGCAGCAAGTGGTCAATGTTTGCATGACCAAATTTAAATTCCCCCAAGCACTCAGGTTGTGTTTAAAAAAGGGGGAGTTTCAGTTCAGTGTCTCCAACAGGCTGCCCTGCAGCTGGGGTATAAACCACCCCCAACACAGGGCCCAAATCCTGTCAGGGGTGAGCACACACCATCATTGCTATTTCCTCAGGCTGGCTACTTCCTTCCAGTCTATGGCACAAGAATGATGCTCAATCTCATTCCTCTGACAGTGTTCAGCAGCCAGTTCCTACCAGGGAAAGTGCTTCTGACAAGCTGGACAGGATTGATGTTACACCCAGCCCCTTGAGCAGCACATCCAGTGTCCCAGACCTCCAGCTCAGGCTGGCCAGATGGTTATTGCTGTTATAAGGCAGCTTTTCCTCTGTGTGCTTCCCTACACAAAGAAATTCCCTGGAAAATGTCTTCTGCACTGCTTGTCCAACAATACTTACCTTATCTCCTTCCTCAATGTCACAGATTTTCTCCAGAGTTGAAGGGTTGTAGGTGGGGAACTTCTTTCCACTTGTAGACTCGTGCCATTCGTTGTTAATAAATATCTGAAGAGAGAGCAAGGGGAGTGGGATGGGCAGGAGAAAGAAAAACAACTTATATAGACAAAAAACCCACAAGTGCACCTCAAAGGTCCAGAGGCTCTTCAACTTCCATCCATGGCAGAGTCAAGGATGCTCAGGCTCTCTCCAAGGGACACAGCTGGCAATACAGAAGCATTTCTACAAACCTTGTGCACCCAGTAAGTTTTGAGCCAGAGGAAGGCAGAGCACAGGTCCCACAGAGAACAACACTAGGATTTGGCAGTGAGAAATGGGCAGTTTTTAAAATACATCTCCATGGGAACAGGAAGCAGACCCCAAGAGAAACTTGTATGGTTGAGGCAGAAGGGAGCCTCCTGTTCTGTGTTGCTGTACAATTATTACTTGGCTGTTGGTGCCCTGCCCTGGGCTACCTCCACAGCTTGCTCCCCCTCTGGCAGTGTCTGCAGGAGGAGGGCTCTGGCTCAGCTCTACCCCACCATGCCTTGTCACAGGCCAGATCAAGCCTCCCACGTCACTTGGAGTCATCTGTGACAAGATTTAAGTGTTTCAAAATATTGCATTTCCAGAGCAAGAACAAACAGTCCCAGCATTGCGTAACTGAAAATGCATTAAATACTGGAGTGTTGTTACTCACTGTAAACAGAACACGAATACCTATATACAATTAATTGATTCAACATGCATCTTATCCACGCTGTGATCTGACTTGGCAGTGTTATATTTTATAAATATACTTTAAATAAGATTAGATGAAGTAATCTTTATTAGTAGCCTGCTAGTGGCTGTAAGCTAGTACTTTTATTTGGAAGCCATCCACATTTGCAATCTTGTTTATGAGTCTCTACACACCACCAGGAGATTAATGTTGCATCTCTTACATTCGGAATTCCCACTGCTTTGGGTCATAGTTTTCTTTCCTTGGGCAGCTTTTTTTCCTGAAAGGACTTTTTCTTATTATTTCTGCATAGAGCATCCAAAGTGTAATTGGTGTAGAAGCTGCACTGCTGGACCCACCTGTTTCACACAGGCTGAGAAAAAGAAAATTTCACAAAAAATGTTGCCAAGGGAAGTCACAAGAAAAGACACAATGTTAGAAATATTAACTCCTATGTAGGACCCCAGTGCTCCCAAACTACCTCTGTTACCCAAGTGCTACATTTTAACATAAAGAAAAATTGAGGTTAAAATGAGTTTATTTCCCTAATGAATAAAAGTCGTATTATAAATGTGGGAAATATGACAGGAACCATAAAATTACAGTATCAGGTATATGCTCACAAACTAAGGATTGGGGAAGGATACTGATTTTTCCTTTGCATTCAGTGCTAATTCTGTGGGAAAGTGATGTTCCTACTAAGCAGTAAAACATCAGAGTGACAGGATCAGGCTGTTTTAAATGTAACATATACACTGGCATCATTCTGGGAATCCACCACATATCACGAGTCCTTGGTGCCAGGAGTTGAAATCAAATTGAATAGTATATCCACAGTTCATGCTTCACAGCCAAAATTTGAGACAAGGAATTGTGGACAGATCACTTCCATCACACATCCATGACAAGCACTAAGCTGCTCTATAAGAAAGATCTTTGTTGAAAAACTTTGCCTCTCCCCCCAGCCCCATAACTGGTAGAACCAAAAATAAAAATCTCCTCTAAGCAGAGGGAACCGTGCTGTCAGCTGTAAACATCTGGTGAAACTCAGAGCTTGCACAAAACCCCTCACAGTTTTATGAAAATTGACTGCTGCTCATTATTTTCTCAGATGCACCGGGAGCATCAGATCAAACATCAAACTCACACTTTTAATTTATGTTGGTTTCCACTTTAAAGATACAACCTTGACTCTTTCAGCGCTCGCAGTCTCTGGCAAAACTGTGGAGCATAAACTGCGTGTTTGAAAACACACACGGCTGCAGGATAAGATCCCTAAGGAGTGTTTAAAAGTGTTCACAACAATAAAAATAACAAAAACCAGAACATTTGGATGTTTAAGAAGAACTCAAATGGCCGTGTCCATTTTGGACGCAGGAAAGAGCTGTTTGTGCTGCATTACGCCATTCTGCAACCAGCAGCTGCAGACCCAATTTGCTGCTAAATGACAAGTTTATCTGACAAATAAAGAGTAGATAAATTTCGGATGTTAAAAAATTAATCTAGTCCACTGATTACTCGTAATTGCTAGTCTGTTTCAGTACACTTTGGATGCATAATTCAAATCAACACCTCACCGGACAAGCTATCAGTGTTCACTCTTTCTAGCTACAAGGCAATAAGCTTCGAATTTTGTTTTTTCTTAATACTCAACACAAAAATGCAACACTAACACACTCATTCAGCTCCTGCAGCTCTTTTAGTCCAGGCACAAAGTTGAAATTATGGCAGCCGAGGCTCCTCAGCAGTAACCAGCCTGACGCTCTCCCCACTGCGCAAGGCAGCGGGTCAGGCTGTTGTGGAACAAAAAGCGACTCAGCGATCGCAGAGCTACAGCTGCACTGGGAGCAGGGATTTCTGCAGCCCTGCTCAGCTCCAAGCCAGCCCCACCTCTGAGGGACAGAGATATCAAGCTCAGGAGCCTTTGGTTTATACTGGAAGGTCAGGAGCAACTGTTTAAAGGGAAACTCAATGGAGAGCGGAGAGGTGAGGCTTTGTGTGGGCTCAGTGCCCGACTCCTCATCCTGTGGGGAGGCCATGGAGCTGGGATGAAGAGCCACCAACACGAGCACTGCTCCTCTCTGGGGCTGCAGGATGCTCCAGTCTCATGGCAGAGCCTTTCCACAAGGCCCAGTCCTGCTGGACACGGGCCCTGTGCTCGCCACCACCCAAACCCACCACTGGCACCAAGCCACCTCCCCACAGGGGAGCTGTGGGTCAAGGACGCTGGAACACGACCCCAGCAAGCGGCTCTGAGGGATAAAACCTTCTTCGCCCTGCCCAGACTCACCCCATCCAAATCGGATTTTGCTGAGCGCCAGCGGGGAGCTGGAGGCGTTCACGGGTGGCTTGGGAGGGAAAGATGGTGACAGGCGCCACAGCCAGGGAGAGGAGCCCAGGGCGCCTGGGGCAGAGTAACAGCTTTGGAGGAGTTATTTTATTAAAAAGAAATAAATAGGTTTTTGGCATTAGGGATTGGGGCAAGTGTTGCTCCATTAGAAACGCCACTGTCATCTGCTTGCTCAACCTCAAACCCCCGTAAACCTACTGTCTGAGGCAGGAGAAGGAATAAAAGAAGCTAAGGAAAACAACATTGAGGGCGAAAATTCTGTGTTAAAAATATAACACCTCACCACCACACTGACTCCATCGAACACCAGCGACACCACAGCAAAGCCCACCCGCCGCCCAGCGCCCCGTGCCTGGCGGGCTCACCTTGGTGTATTTCACCTCCAGGCTGCGCAGGGGCCGCGGCAGCGGAGGCACTTTCTTGTCGGGCTGCCCGTTCTCCACGGCGCCATTGAGGGCTGCCATGGCCCCGCCGTCGAACCCGCGCGCCTTCTGCCCGCTGACAGCGCCCGCGCCGCCTTAAGAGCGCCGCGCGAGCCGCCCGCCCGCCCCCATTGGCCGCCGCCCCCCGCCTCGCGCGCCGGCTCCGCCCCGCGCGCCCCGCCCCGGCCCCTCGCGCGGCCGCAGGTGACGGGCGGCGCCGCCCCGCCGAGGCTCCGCGCGCGCCGCAGGGGCGGGGGGGCGCCCGCACGCCGCGCGCGCCGCCGTCGGGGTCCCCAGAGCGCTCGCAAAGGGCTCCCCAAGGGACTCACGGGATCCCAAAGGAATCCTCCCCTCAGGATCCCCAAGGGTTTCCAAAGGGCTCTCCACAGCGTTGCAAGGGATCCTACTCAATGTCTCAGGGGATTCCCCTCAGGCCATGAACGGTTCCCCGAGGGGCTCTCCGCAGAATCCCACCGGGTTCCCCTCAGGGGTCCCACAGAGTCCCTCAGGGCTCTCTGAAGGGACATTGCTCCCTCAGGGCTCCCTGTGGTGTTCCCCTCAGCGCTCCTGCGGGGCTCCCTCAGAGCTCCACACACGGCTCTGACATTGCTCCCCACAGGACTCCCTCAGAGCTCCACGCACAGCTCTGACATTGCTCCCCACGGGGCTCCCTCAGAGCTCCACGCACAGCTCTGACATTGCTCCCCACAGGGCTCCCTCAGAGCTCCACACACAGCTCTGACATTGCTCCCCACGGGGCTCCCTCAGAGCTCCACGCACAGCTCTGACATTGCTCCCCACGGGGCTCCCTCAGAGCTCCACACACAGCTCTGACATTGCTCCCCACAGGGCTCCCTCAGGGCTCCCTGCAGCTGAAGGCAGTGAGGGAGGGCAGCAGGATGTACCAGATGGGCTCTGGGGAGTAGAGCAGCCACCCTGGCTTCCCCCAAAGGGTCCCACTGGGGTGAGCATGGGAGGATGTGCCCTCTGCTGCCTTCTGCCTCTGCATCCCACCTAAGCCCACCCAGAAGTCATTCATGGGAGGACTTTTGCAAAGGTCTCCATGGGAATAACACCAGTGTCTCCCAGCAATAAGGGGAGATAATATCTGCTATTCCTGGTGCCCTGACATCCTTACCTCAACCTGCTACACCTCATCCTTCACTCAGTGCCTCTGGAGAACTTTCCAGGACTGATAGTAAGAGAAGAACATGACACCAAATGTGTGCTGTGCATCTGACAGCAGCTCCTCCACATTCCTGTGTGCATACAGGAGTCTGGGACCAGTTTGACCATCCCAGTCCGACTATCCCAGTCAAAGGACTCCAGCCGGCTGGGGCAGGACCAGGCCCTTCCACTAGAAAGTCCTACACTGATAACAGCATAGTTGTGTCCCACTCAGCCAAGCTCCAGCATGGTGCTCATAGTAGCGTACTTGGAGTGTCGAGAAAGATGCTGTCTTTCGAGAAGTCCTGAAGGATATGGAACATGTCTTAAGTGACAGATCTAGGCTCTGAGCCTGAACAAGTTCATTATGTATTGCTTAACTTTATTCTGCATAAAATATGTGTAAGTCTTTGCAGGCTGAGGGCCAGGACACTCAGAGCACCCTCACACCCCCACACACATGGAAGATAATACAACATATTTTCCATATAACAAGTGGCAAGATGCCAGAAGTTATCTTCTAAAATGTTCTGCAGAATCTGTAATCCCCAGCAATAGTCAGCACTTTGCTGTTAGAATGCTTAAAAATACTCAGAGCTTCCAAAGGCAGCCCGTGATATCACAGTGGCACAGATTTAGTGCTGATTCAGAAGGGAAAGTACCTTGATGAACCAACCCCCACTCCCTGCAGCTTGCAGGATGTTTTTGGAAGTTCTCTGCCCAGGTGAAAACCTATCTGATGGTGATTGGTGCAGAAACGTTTCTTTCTAAGCTGTCCGTTTTTAATTATCCAGTTGCTATTTCCCACAAAAGCTACAAATGCACCCAAGCTAAAAGAAATCTCTTAGCCATATCCCAATGTATTCCTAGTCCCAGTGAAGAGGAGTTTATCCATTTCTGTCTTTACCTTGCCCACAGAAACTCTCAGTGGAAGTGGAAAGTACTTTTGCAATTAGAGGACAAAATATCAGGATGAGGAGAATGATGAATAAGAAGTTCCAGAACAAGCAGTGTCTAAAGAGTCATTCCAGTGGGTTGTCTCATGTGGAATGACCTTGTCTCTTATCTCTGATGAGGAAGATTTTATACAAGACACTCCTGGGAAAATTATTGCCTCTTTGAGTTAATGTTGGTGCAGTGTGAGATACATCTAAGGCAGAAATTCCATGGACAGGGTTTGGGGATGTGTAAGACTTTTAAAAGGTTGTACAAAGTGAATGAATGGTGAGTCAGCAACATATGAATGAGCTGAAATAATAGACTTCAATGGATATACGTAGCTATGTGCAGTGTTTCCTCTGATAATGTCACAGGAAGAGTAACAGAATGTTCTGCTGTCAGAGTCTTGTGGACACTGATTGGTCCTTTGTTGGGCAAACTCCATCCTGCCATAAGCAGGAAGTCCACCAGCCCCAGAAGTGATGTGCCTTTGGTCACCAGATGTGTCTTTTGTGCTTCTACCAGATCACAGGGGTGGAAATACTCACGTCTCATGACTTCTGAGTGGGAGAAGCCCTAAAACCATCAGCAGAGCCCTGATCAGAACAAATGTGAGACATTTTACATTCATTCCTGTGCCTCAGGAAGGGCATGCCGCCACTAGGACAGAGGGACTGAAAAAATGGGTTTTACCTAAGTTTGCAACAATGTGTTGCAAAGTTGATCAATGCCTCCAAAACAGGAGCAGGAGGAAAAGCGTCCCTGGATGAGAGGCCCCATCGCTCCTGAGTTACCCTGCTGTGTTCTCCTGTCACAGAGATCTCAGCAATGTGACAGCAGTGGCTGTGGATTCCCTGGAGTTGCTCTGCAGAGCTGTGTCTCACAGAGAGTTTTTACACTACCAGTACACCAGCTCTGCTCTGTCAAGCAGAACAAAGATCACCTTCCCACTGTTGGGATGGACAAGTGCACTCTTAAATCTGCCACCGTGAGTGAGTCCTGACCACAGCTCTCTGTGCTCTCTGTGCTGTCCTGCCTGCTGTGCCAGGCACAGTCCTAGGACATGTTCCTGCTATGATCTTGCTGTCTTCCTATCTCTTAGGGACGCCTGTAGGAATTAATTTCTCTTACTTCCCAAGCTTATTTAACCTTAATGAAGGAGACATTGCTGGTGGTAACTCCTCCAAATACACTCTGCTGTATCTTATGCCCTGGTTCCCACCCAGAAGAGTAGTGAGTTGTATACAGAGGGTCAGTGAGGACATCTCCAGGCTACCTGGAAATAGGCTGTTTCTAGATCCCTTTGGCATCCTGCCCCATGGATGAAGACAGATTCAGCAGTGGGGCTCATATTAGAGAGTTTTGTTTGTCCAGCCAGTGGTGCTGTAGCCATTGACAGATGCTCTACAAACTGATCAGCTGATATTCCAAAGATTTTCTATTTTTTATCTAGACCTCAGCCTGTTCTTCCAGCTGACCAGCAGTGCTGTAGCTGTGCAGAGCACTCAACCTGGCCCAGAGCCAAAGCTTATCCCACTTATTTTCCATATACCCCGAAGCCCATGCACACACAAACATAAATACGTGTGTGAAACAATATACTCTGAAAGGCTACTGAGGCTCTATGCTCCAGCATTCAGCGGCCCGGAGTGTCCAGAATTTGCCTGGTTTTCCTCATCCAGATGAACTGTAATTGAGTTATCCACGCCCTTTTCCTACAGGCATCCCCCTCACTCTGCATTGGCAATGCTTGCTGCTCCTGAGGGAGCAGCTCCCCTCATGATTTATTCTCCTCTTGTTTAATGTGCAGCGAAGGGGCTTTTTACTGCCTGTTATTCAAACTGTGCTTTGGGCACAAAATTATTCATTTCCTTATGGTTTTTCCATGGTGCTCATGACAGCAGTGTCTGAGAGTTTCACATGCACTGTTTCCTTTTCCAGTCATTTTGAGAGGATGCTGACCCTGTATTATCAGGGAGGAAAGAAGGCAGGCAGTGATGAATAAAAAAGGGTCTTCATAATTTCAGTTTCCCAATGTGAGTCACCCACAGCCCGAGTGCTTTTATGACAGACATTCAGAGCTCAGCTCCAGCAGTCATTGCACAATGTAAAGATCTCCCACCTAAACACCCAGGTAAGGCAGAAAGTGCTAGAGAGTGCATTGCTCCCCAGTGACTTTAATCTGCGAATTTTCTGGTTTTTGTAAGTTTACCATTCCTGTAACTTTTATTTCCCGTGGGTAGTTCTCTAGAGTTTGAGTTAATTCTTCTAAGCGAACTTAAAATCCATAAATTTCATCAGTCTTGAACAAATTTGCTGTGATACAGGTCAGCAGCAGGATGGACTGTTTTGAGCTGTGGTGGGATTGTCATTTTGTGGGCTCCCTGGTAGCAGAAGCTACTGATTGATATGGATTGGCCATGTGAAGGCAGTGAGATGTGCTCTGCTAGCACATTTTGATTTGCTTTGTTTTTCCAAATATTTTCTGGCTGCAAGATAGTGATAATTGAACTGCTGCCTTCAGTTGTGAAGCACCTTGCAAATATCACCAAATTAATGAAATAATCTGCCATTTTTTACCAAAACTAGTTCTCCTCAGTTTATCAAAGTATTCACGTACAATTTCAAAAGGATTTGAATCCAGAGAGGTGCCTTAAAAAGTCAAAATAAAAAAGATCAGCCTGTCCTGAAGTTACCATGGAAATGGTATGTCCTACACGAGGGTTTTTCTTGTATCAGTCCAAGACCTCCTCCACTGAGAGTAGTGGAGAGGGGTTGTAGGCATGGGATATATTTTGGAGTGTAAGCAGCCCCATGAACTCAGCACCTTCCCATATTTGTGGTGCCCTTCTCATGCCCTGTGGGTTTAATCTTCAATTTTAACACATCTGGGACTGAAGAACAGTTTCTTTTCCTGTTCCTCTGCACCTCCAAAA